ATTCTGTGAGACACTTGCACACCCAGCTGTTTAATCCAATTTGGCGAGTTCAATATGAGCCTTTGAGAGTTTTAATTATGTTGCAATCAGCCTCTTTGCTTAATCTGTAATCTGGGTTTCAAGATGACTAATTGCCAGCAACAGCATTTACAAGTCTCTTCTGCCTTCTGTCCTCTTGGCTGCAAGCTGACGATCATCAGTGAATGCTGTCTCTTCCACTCCTCTTCTTCCTCCTCTTCTCCCACACTCACTTCACAAGAGCATCTCCCAGAAATACATGGAGACAGTTGCAGTTTATTCAGCACTCTCCTTGCCCGAGTTTAAAACATGAGCCTGGATGAGAGCGCACATCCATCTTACTTTAAAATCGACAACATTTTCTGTTGTAAAAACACTTTCATCATGCCGTTTGAGTCTTGTAGTGCTCTTGTTCCTTAAATATATAATGGCACAACTCTATGATGCTTAGATCCAGATTTATACCACAAATCCAGATGAAAGAATTGTAGGAAGGCTGCTTTGCTATTTCCCAAAGTTTTCACTCTCAGTGCTATGAAAACAGCTTATTACTTCACCTTGCTTATGAATGTTAATTAAAACGATTGCTCCAATTTCCATTACACACAGAAACCTTAACCAGATAGGCAAAATAGAAGTATATTTTGTTGCTGCAGGATACTGGAAGTAACCCATTTTAAACCCAGTTAGCATCTCTTCCCTTTCAAGTCACAGGGAGGTCTTGTTTTTTTTCCAGAAGCCTAATTTTCATGTTTCAATTTAAAACTCTGCTGCTCGCTTACAAAACAGCGACAAAAACGTCTCCTCCTTACTTTAACTCTCTGATCCAGGTCTACACTCCCTCCCGCCCACTACGCTCTGCCAATGAAAGGCGTCTGAGCCAACCTTCACAACAGGGTCCTAAGACGCTGACTAGACTCTTCTCTCTGTCGCCCCCGGTGGTGGAATGAACTTCCAAACTCCATATCGATCTGCAAAATCCCTCTGCACCTTTAAGAAAAAGCTAAAGACCCAGCTCTTTGATGAATGAATGTTGTGCTTTGCCTCTGATCACTTCCTGTCAGCACCTGTGTGTCCAATCGGACTCAAAGCTGATCTTACTTAATGATGATGGTCTCGACATTATTGATGATGATGATGGTTGTGACGATGGTTTTTGTTTGATAACGATGACTTATAAGATGGTTCTATACTGATTAGAGCTCTCAAGAACTGCCCTCAATGTTGTGCTTTGCCTCTGATCACTTCCTGTCAGCACCTGTGTGTCCAATCAGACTCAAAGCTGATCGTTTGCTCTTACTGACATTGTTCCCTTTTTTTCTAGATCCTTGCTTGTGTTGTACTTACTCTCTGATGTACGTCGCTTTGGATTAAAGCGTCTGCTAAGTGATTTTGTAGAATTGTAGAAGGTCTCTCTGGCTTTGTAAGCATTCAAATAACAATAAAAAATGAAAGATGGTGAGTTTTTAAGTCCAGTTTTAATGGTAAATATCATACAGCTACTGTGGATATATCAATGTATATGGTCAATCAGACACTCTTACTCACAGATCTTCTGGAGTAGGTTTCAATAAGTACATCAGTAAGCTGTATATAGTTTAATTCAATATATTGACCAAAAGAAACGTTGTCCAACAATGACCATCTTTTCGAAATGCACAAAACTCTTTCAGGTTGAGCTCTCTGCCAGGTGTCATGTGCAATGTTGCTTTTCTGTTTCGCATGTCTGCAGGGGTGCGCTCATTCTTGTATTTTTGTTGTTGCTGAAAAACAAGAGGCGACAGGCAGACATGCTGTTCTACCCTCACATATCTCTGCGGTTTTACACAAGTTCTGCTGAAAAGGAGATTTACACTGTAAATACCTTCAATACGTCCAGCGTCAGAATTTGCTTGGCCCGCCATCTCGGATATCTTGAAAACATTACGTTACCTTTTTTACCTCATGTCCTGCCACAGTGACATATACTAACACGATTCAGGGGCAAGTTGTCTTGACATTTTCTAAAGTTTCCTTAGAATGAAAATGTGAAAACAGCTCCTATGTGTCATATTAAGAGTGTATCAACACCTGGAACATTAAAACACTCCCACATTTCAGGAAACTTTCACTGTGGGACTGAGAGGAGACATTACAGGAGAGGATAAATGAACCCACATTTTCCTGTCTGAAAGCAACATGTCAGGATAAACATTTCTGCTATGTTCACATGATGCTGAAAGTCCTAGCCCAATGAAATCTAAATAAAAAAATGTAATGATAAAAACTGAAAAAAAGAACCCACACATTTGAATAAAAGGGGTTTTCACATAGCCTGTGTTCAAGGCTTAGCTTTGTCAGTAAGGTAGAGTTACAGTCCTCTGCTCCAGTCCTGTCATCTTGTTATTATTGTATAAAAGTTGTCAGAGAATATATACATGTTCAACATATTACAGTAGCTACATTAGCATCATGCTAAAATGTATAATTTCGGAACCAAACAATCAAACCTATCAAAACACTGTTTCAACGATATAACACTGACATACATCCAAACCAGACACTCTGATATAAAGTTCTCTTCCAGCCTTTCAAATGTACCAGCAGTGGGAGTGTGGAGTCATTCTCATCACTGGAAGTGGGTGATGTGAGAGTGGAGCAGCCTGGAGGTAAAAATGTGCTTCTTAATAGCAATAATCCAGCTGACTTATCTTTGGCGCCCACCAGCTCAGCAAAAGTGCCAAGATGCCAAACTGCTACCAGCTCCAGAGACACGAGTTATAGCTCGCCCATCACGCACACGCTCTGTAGAAATCAATGAAGTGCGGTAGGACTTATGTGTGATTAGTGAGGACAAAATACATTTTTGCTCTTTCTGTCGTGAGATTTCCCTTGGAGGGTAAACCGAGCTTCAGCCGTGTTTTGATTTTACTCTGCTGGCACGTACACTCTCACCTCAGAGCTCCTTTGAGAGTTGTCCTTGAAGGAAATATGCTCGAAGACATGCTGACATTTTTAACACAGGTTAAAAGGTATGAAATGCCCCTATAACTTTACTTACTAAGCTCCTTACCATTCCACATGCAGTCCACTCTGTGACTGTTAGGCGCTCATCAAAGTGACAGGCTGTGGGAAGAAACTGTTCTTGTGTTGGGTTGTTTTGACGGACAGTGCTCCTACTAGAGTGGAGGAGTTTAAACAGTTTGTGTCTGGGGTGGGAGGAGTCTGCAGTGATGTTGCCTACCCGTTTCTTGACCCTGGACCGGTGTAAGTCCAGGAAGGAGAACAGGTCAGCACCTGATAGTCTGTTGCAGTCTATGTCATTACAGTGCTGTACATAACATGCTGTAATGACATTTTGGAAATCCTGTTGACCACGGGACGAATAGCTGCTGCCATGCGGATCTAAATGAAAACAAACATCTATGCAGAACAAATCAAACAAACAAAAATGTGCAAGATTATTTGGTTCTTTCCCACTCTCCGGTTATGATCTACCTCATCTGTCATAAAGACTTAAGAACTTTGTACTGTACAAGTGTGTGGGGGGGAAGCCTGAAAGTGAACACAACACTTCAAAAATAAACACAAAGCCATATCTAATAAACAATAAACAAAACCTAGAACAACTTCCCGTAGCATAGGCAACCTCAAGGCTGCATAAACACACAGCACTCATCCTCTAAAGACCTTATTTATGTCGACACTCCGGCCCCACAGCTCTCCCTGAACCTTACATTGGTGTTTCATTGTCTGTAACACGAGCGCTAGTGTAAAGCTCAGCCTTCATCTGTCACACCGAGCGCAGGGAGCAGCAGTGCATAAGCCTCGTCCCACGCTCCACGCTCTGGGCCATGCATTTTGTATGAGTGTGTAACCTTCATCCATGCATGCGTCTGTCAGCAGACGGGTTAAGTGTGCAGGAATGTGTTTCCGTTGTGTTTAGCCGAGTTATTTCCCAGTCGATAAAGATCAGGGTCCTTCTGATTTGGCTTGGTTTGTTAAAGTGTTAAAAACTGCTTCTCGAATGGCTGTGAGAGGCTTGATGTGTGCTCTTAAAATGTGACTTTAACAGCTATAATAGGTTTATATTGAGGTTTGAGGTAGTACCTTCTGAGATATTTCATAAAAACTGTGTAAAGATGTGCTTGATTTATCCGATTCCAGGCGAACCCAATCCTCGCTTTTTAAGTTATAAACCTGTATGACATTATTAATCAAAGGATGGCAATGGTTTTATTGAGCAGCTGTGAATTTGAAAAGGGAAACTGAGAGAAAGAAGGAGATATTGAGTTTGATTAACTGCCACTGAGGAGAGTGAATGGTAGGTGTTAATGTTTGGATACGCTAATGCAGCACAAAATCAGCCAAATGATAAGGGAGTGTGGGCGACTGCCACCCCACAAAAAAAGCATGGCAGAGGGGCGTTGGATAGCCTAGCGCAGTGGTTCTCAACTGGTCTACGCTCAGGACCCTCCACCGACTCATTGATGAGAAATCACGACCCAAATTTCTGTTTTTTTAACCAATGAGATTTCATGAATGACAAATAGTGCAGTTTGGACCTTAGCTGGTACAAAACATGTGACTTCCAGGTACACATTTATCTATGACTCTCTGAAATCAGCTCCGCGACCCACTTATGGGTCCAGTCCCACCAGTTGAGAACAACTGGCCTCGCGGTTATGTTGGAGGATGTAGTCGTCATCACAGCGGCCGTGGGTTCGAATCCAACCTCGGCCTTTTGCTGCGTGTCATCCCCCCCCTCTCTCTCCTCCCAACACTTCCTGTCTCTCTTCAGCTGTTCTGTCTAATAAAGGCAAAAATGTCTTTTGAAAAAAAGATGCATGGCTGAGGACAGGAACACTTAGAAATAATTTTGCAGGGCACCCTATTTAACAGACAGAATATTCAGTGATAGAGAGTTGATAAATCTCCAACATGGCACTTTTAGCTTTCTGTTTGACTAAACTGTTTGTGGTGCTCTCTCTCTTTCGTCCCAGATTCTGATCGGAGAAGTGACCACTTTCTTTGTGAAGGCGGAGGGAGCTCAGGAGAAGACCATCGTGACCGCCGACTGCTGTTACTTCAACCCTCTCCTCCGTAGGATCGTACGCTTTCTGGGTCAGTTGTAGTCCTAAAGGTTAAAGGTTCTTCTGCTTTGACTGAACAGAGTCTCTGCACTCTTAATGAGTTTGTCTCAGTAAGACTTACATCAGTGCTTTTTTTTTTTTGAGGAGGCCCATGTCCTTTAGGTCTCCTGGGGACTCATTTCTCCTGCCCTTCTCTTCATGTCCTGTTCTGTTGACGTTCTCTGATCTTTTTCATCATTACACTATTTATCTAAGCTGTGAGTTTTCTAAAGTGATGAGTAAAAGCAAAGGCTATGTCTGTCTGGCCTTTCACTCCCACACAGTTATCATCCATCATTTAACTTCCATCCAATTGCTCTTTTTTGACTCCTGCAAGAGACACTATTCACTTATTTTGGGTTTACAAACAACACCCTCCCTTTCTCTCACTTCCTCCATCTTCTCTTTTTTTTTCTTCACACACAGGTGTATACTCCTTCGGCCTCTTCACCACCACCATCTTCGCCAATGCAGGTCAAGTGGTGACAGGAAACCAGACGCCTCATTTCCTTTCAGCATGCAAACCAAACTACACAGCTCTGGGCTGCCAGTCTCCGCTGCAGTACATCACAGAGCGCCGCGCCTGCACAGGAAACCCATACCTGGTGGTGTCCGCTCGCAAATCCTTCCCCTCCAAAGATGCAGCGCTCAGCTTTTATTCAGCCGTCTACACCGTGGTAAGAAAACGTGTTACCTTACAGTGGGTGTAGGGAGAGAGGCTGGGCATAGGAGGGGTACGATGATGTTGTGTGATGGGGTTCCTCAGGGTCGTGTTGGGAGACTAAAAAGGCAGATACCTTTTGAATTTTTTTGGCTTAATTGTTTTGACTTAATAGTAGAACTGTAGAAATGAGCACAAATATATTTTCCCTTCATGGCCATTAAGTACATCATAGTGTATCATATCGTAAATGGAGAAGAGTAGGACAGGACAAGTTATTGCTTTACAACGGTTTGACCAAACCAGAGGTAAAATAAATTCAAATACTTTATTATGAGGCATATTTGTTATAAAGGCTTTACAAGTTGTAACCAAGGTTTTTCATGATTATTATGGGGCGGCTGTGGCTCAGTTGGTAGAGTCGGTCATCTCTCAACCGGAAGGTCGAGGGTTTGATCCCCAGCTCCTGCTTCAACGTGTCCGATGTGTCCGTGGGCAAGACACTTAACCCCGTTGCTCCCGCTGCTTCGTCAGCGGCGTATGAATGTGTATGAATGGGATTAGTTACTTCTGATGGTCTCATTACACAGCAGCCTCTGACATCAGTGTGTGAATGTGTAGGTGTGACATGCGGTGTAAAGGGGCTTTGAGTGGTCAGAAGACTAAAGCGCTATAGAAGCTCAAGTCCAGTTACTTTTTTATTAAATAATGTATGTATGGTATACAGAGCAGATATAGGCCATGCAGTCAAACATGTTCTAATTGATGGCTGATTATTAATTCAAAGCGTTCCTAGTTAATTTTTTTTTTTTTAAATAATCAGGTGGTATGTTATGTAATGAGTCATTTATCAAGTTTGCCTCGTCGGCAAGTTGTAGCAACTTTTCTAACAAAACTACCCGCTGTTATTCTATCCTAAAACAAGTGGGCGCACAGAGAGAGCAGACCAACACTCCTGCCCTCTGATAACAAGATCTGCTAAAGATACAAACTGTGGTTGTGTCTAGCTAAAGTGTCATGAGCTCAGCTTTGCATTTAATGTGTCGTCGTGAATTTGAAATATTTGGCACAGGTTGTCAGGGGCAACAGGCATTAAAAATGACTGCATAGAAATAATTCTGATGGTCTGCTTTGCCTTTGTCGGTCATATAGAAGGATCAGTGTTGATTTCAGTCTGTCATGTGGCTTTATGTGACACCAGGAGGACATTTCTTCTTCTAAGTTAATCAGCTCTGCTATTCATCGTTATAATTTAGTCAACAGGATCGCTTGTTTATGAGTCAAATCCAGATTGAAAAATATAATGGGTTCCTCCTCGGTCTAACATCAATCAATTTGGATGAAAACAAACCTGTAGCTTTTCCATAATCATGCTGACAAAGAGACAAACTGATAGACTAGACAAACAGGCAGCAACAGACGCATACATTTCTTGGCGTAGGTAAAGAAGAGAGGACATAAATAACATCAGATTCTTTTAAAAGGAAGGAACATCTTAGTCATCATATGATTCTAACACATATCCTCCTCTCTGGAGATAAAATGTATGTATGTGTGTCTCCAGCATAATAAAGGATTCAAGTAAAATGAACATTTAGTTCTGATTTAAATGCTGCTATTATATATTTTTTCATTAAAATGCCATGTCCTTGTCTTTTTTAGAAGCATTATAAACAAACCTTGAAGCTGCATTCACTTTGCTTTCTTTTGGTATCATTCAGCTGTGTTGAAACCACGGCAGAGGGCGCCCTCTTGTGGCTGCTCAGGCGAAAGCAACGTTTGATTTGTCTCAGCAGTCTCACTGAAGACCTGCAGATTGAACACCTGTTACAGATCACAGTGAGAAAAATAACATGTTGTTTTTTATTTTCGTTTTTCAGATGTACGTGACCCTGGTGTTCCGCACCAAAGGGACTCGTCTGACCAAACCCACCCTGTGCCTGGTGCTGCTGTCTCTGGCCGTGCTGGTAGGGGTGATGAGGGTGACTGAACATAGAAACCACTGGAATGACGTCCTGGCTGGGTTTGTCACCGGAGGAGCCATCGCTGCCTTCTTGGTAAGAAGGCGGGAGGGAGCCATGGAGGGCAGAGAGGGAGGGAGAGCGGTTCAGTGATCACAACAGGATAGATGAAAGGGGTAAAGACAGCAGGAAACACAGGTGGATAGGATACAGGAGTGGAAGAAGATGGTTGAAAGAGATTCATTTTGCGCTTATTAGTCACCTATCATTTTTGTTAAAAAACAAACTGAACTTTGTCTTTTTACAATCTTCTAGAGAAAAAGCTTCATAAATATAAATAAACCAAGAGTCACGGACCCAAACCACCACACGCTACAACATATTTCACATCCTGTTTATTTTAATGTCACTTTTAACTTCCTTTGACCAAATCTATAGACTGCATGTCACGGCCATCTCCTGTCCTTTTTATTTTTCACACCAATTCACATGATTTTTACAGCCCTATGACCTTTTTATAGATAACAAATTGCATGTTCAAATATAATAAATTAACCAGAATGTCTATGAATCATCTTCTGTGATCATCGTCACAGATAGAATCCACTACATCATAATATTTCAACCACTCTGTCCCCTGTCCCCTGCGACCTGGTATCCCACTACGTGATTTTCACAGGTTGTGTGCACAGCTGCACACTGCACAAGCTGAAAGGTGAGACTAAAAGCTGGATGTAGGAGCAAGCTAGCTGAAAATGTCAGGGCAACTTTCCCACACACTCACAAAAGAAAACACCAGGCAGAGCTGGACTGAACAATTTCAGTTAATAACCACGAGTCACCTGAGAAGTAGCCTCGCATTCTGCAAAGTGAGCAGGTTAGATTTGAATATAGGGCACAATGGCAAAAATGATGTGACCCAGCATATCAGCTCCCAACTGTGCAGCTCTGCATTTCTGCACCCCAACCCCATCCCCAAACACACACACACACACACACACACACACACCCATCCTCCCTTACTTTGAAACCTAAATGTTAGCAGGTATGAGTACAGGAGCGATGGTTTGAGAATGGACCAATGATTAAGGGGCTTGAGGCAAAAGAAGACATACTCTATTTTCACCCATAAAGTTGATTCATCTGATCTGAATCGTTACCATGGCACACCTTGGTCATCTTGATCTTTATGCATTTTCTGGAAAATCTACCAGGGTCCGTGTCTACTATAAAGATCAACGTGCTACCAAAGGTTTTCTCTTTGTCACATAAATCTAGCCACATTATCATTCTTTCTCGCTCTCTTAATATTTCTGTGAAAATCAACCACCTCTGAACTGCAGTGAATAAATATCTCTCCCTTCTTGTCTCTTCTCTCTATCAGGTTTCATGTGTGATCAACAATTTCCAGCCAACCCAGCTTGCGATGCATTCTCCTCCGCCTCAACAGCGCCCAGAGCCGTCCATGGGGCTGCCCCTCCTCACCCTGCCCCGCGTGGAGAGTCCACTCGAAAAGTTAAGTGGCGTCCAGGTAAGGGATGGGGAAAACAAATTCTGGAAGAAGTTTTGATAAAAGAAATGCACATTTGTTTGTGATTGAACGGTGTCCTCTAGTGAGGAAACATATTTTGCCAATTCTAGCTTTGAGAAATGCGAAAATCACGTTGATCAGGTTGATATGTGTTGCAGAAGTGAAATATATTGACAGCTGTTGGGTGGATTTGCCGTTACATTTGTTGCATGGTTTCAAATCCACCACAGGTAATCATAAAACCTCTAATGTAGCATCGTCATGACGTCAAAATTGTGATTCTTCCAACACGGTTTGGTTCAGAATCAGAATCAGAATCGGGTTTTATTGCCAAGGCCATTTACAAATACAAGGAATTTGTCTTGGTGTATTGGTGCAAAACAGTTAACAAAGGAAATAAAGCAAAAAAAAAAGGGGCACTTAAATAATAAAATATATGAAGTAATTACAAATATATAAAATAGAATTTAAAAGTGTAAAAAGCACAAAATGTACAAAAGGTGCAACGGAGGAGCTGTGCAGTTGACAATGGAAAATTAAAAACATCTTACAGTGTTTATAAATCTACTCTAGAGTGCATGTCAAATATGATGGCTAAATCACTGCCTGACTCGAGCACTACAACACTCTTTATTGTCCTCACTTGTTTCATTTAATCTGGATGTGTCTTTGATTCTTCTGTTTGTCTGACATCTCTGTCATATACACTTTATCCCTCTCATCTAGACATCATCACTTTGCATTCTTGCCTCTCCCTGTCTCAGTCTAGTGAAGTTTATCTGCTCTTCTCTTTCAGGTTTTAAACTTCAAAATGATTTCTCAAATGTCTTACACTCCTGCTCTGCCTCTCCTGAACGTCTCTCTGTCCTGTTCCCTCCTGTTAGGTTCCAGGGGTACCGTATTCTGAGATCACATGACCATCAGCCAATCCCGTCCCCCACCCCTCCCGATGTGCTCCTTCCCTCGCGACGTTGCCTAACCAGCGCAGTTTAGACCTGCCCCCTGAACTACCCCCATCCTGTCTTGCCCACCCCGACGGACGAAGTGCTCTCCGACGAGTCAAATCCACACAGGTCTGAATGTCCAACCAATCACAGGTGGCAGAACCGGCACACGTGCACATGGTGAGCATGGCTGGACTCGGTCATCCCCTAAGGATCGGTAGACGATGGATACATGTCCTTTTCCGTCCACTTCTGTCTTGTTTGTCCTCCAAGATGGCCTCCTCTTTCTTTCAGGTGAAAACGACCCGATGAAAGACTAATCAAAGCCAGAGCTGTTGAAGCAATACTGTGTCCTGTTTCCTTATCCTGTTGTCCAAAACGAGACCGAACAGTGACTATCGAGACTGTTGGCTGGGAATGACTTGATGAAACACTCGATCAATTCAAACACTCAGCAGCAGTGTGGGTATTTTATTGATCAAAGAAAATCTCAAGCACTGGATGATCGTCCTCAAAAGACCCTTTTGTAACACTCAGGACATAAAATGAGGGGAAAAGGACTTAAGGATTCAAAAACTTTAAGTCATCTAATGCCGGTACTGTCGAGTATCATAGCACAGATCCTTTCTGTCCTCAAAGCTAAGAAGAGAAGCCGTCGAAGAAGAAAGCACTTTTGGGACAAAGAGCACAGAAGAACTTTTGAAGCGTTCAGTAAACTGTGTTTGTATCTAATTTGATTTGGGGGGGGAGATATCATTATGATCTCGCTGTATATTGTGTGAAGCGACAGAAGAGGGAAGTATACACACAAGTGCTGTGCTTGTGACACTCATGTGTCTCGGGGGATCAGATAAGTCATCCCCTTCAGTGAAGTGAAGTGAACTACATTTCCATATACTTACTATTCAGGTGTGTGTTTCTAAATGTCTGGAGGTTTCCGTCCATGCTGTGAAATATTGGGAAAGTTGTTTTTCCTATCATCTGTATTCATTTACACTAAACTCTTACTTTGTCTTTTCTGTTAACACCTTCAGTACCTATCACCTGCTCTTTATTTATTTTACACTTAAATCTGTGTTTTTATGGATTTATGGAGAAGTATTCATCTTCTTGACATGGTGGCTATTTTCCTCTGACGTCGTGCAGGAAGCTCGAATGCTGCTGTTATTTGTCGTTAGTAAAGAGTCCGATATGATACAATGTGATACCACCCAATACCATACTAAACGATACACTATGATATACTCTATGGTCCACAAAGGGAAATGGTACTTGGGTTTTAATACTGCACACATATAGCAGATTCTACAGTAGTCTTAATAAGTCAAAAACGGGGGCGTCGGTACTGTATTGATTAGTGCCCACGCCCCATGTACACAGAGGTGCTGCTTGTCAACAGGCAAGGCAGGCCCCCAAGGGAAAGCTTTACACAACAGCAGTGGCTCAAAATGTGCAAATGTTCCAATGAGAGTAGGAAAACTCTGAAACGGGGCCCCATCTGACAGCGCTCACTCTCATTGCCCTGCTAAAGTGTAGCATGCCTTATTGATTCGAAAAACCAAAGTTTGTCAGTGGAAGTGAGCGAAGGAAATGGAAGAGGAGTTATCCGTCTAAAGGAGAACGAGTATGGGTCGGGATACTAGCAGGCATGTCAGTGATAAACGCTGGTTGGAGGGGGCCCCCAATTCATTTTTGCCAGGGCTCCAACAGAATCTAGAATCGCCCAGCATGTACAGAGGCTATAGTCCTCAAAGCTGTCGGCCCAGGTTCCAATCCCACTCTCTCTCTCTCTCTCTCTCTCCCTGATTTCAGACTCTATCTAGGGTCATATCTCTACATTAAAGGCAAAAAAAAACACAAAATCTAAAAGAAATAAGTCAAAAACAAACAAATGACAATCTTTACCATTTCTTTGCATCTTGGTTAATATTCCAGATTCAATACTGGGTTAAAGCTATTTTCTAGCCAACATTTCCTTTTAGGCTAGCTTGTAGGTTATACAATATAAAGTGTTCTTTGGAATATGCACAGATCTCCCACATCAGAGTATTGCACTGTCCTACTGACCTTTGCAGGCCTGCTTTCCAGCTTGTGGGGTGTGGTTCATTTTCTTTGCCGGGTCAGTGAAAGGATAATGAGTCGTTGGATGCCTTACATTTATATGACTTACAGACGGGGAGCTCAGCATTACAACATTACTGCAGCATCTGATATTTCCGTCCTGAGCATGACTTCAGAGAACAATAGCTGCTGTGTGAGTTTGTTGAACAGCATCAGTTGTTGATGCTTCAGTTCATGTAGTCGCCTGTTATTAGAAGATTCTCCTGCTTCACTCGGATGTCTTTTCCTCACACTGACTTCAGAAAGCCAGTGGCAACAGACCAGTGTGTGACACAGAGGTAAGACCTCTGAGTTTTGTATAGTTTTGTACAGTATATAGGTTTCTTTACACAGTATATAAACTACATTATTGTTACGTTCGACCTGTGTGAGCAAGTTGACGCTGTCTGAAGCTGTCCAGGAACTACGGCTGTCGTGATATTCGAATTTCAAAGTCAAAATCAAACAATAATGAAACCTGTTTCAACAACACAGGGACACAAAAAACTACTCCCAGACAACCAAGTCTGGGTAACTTCTTGGTTTTAAATACAAATATTACAGGCAGACTCCTACAAAATGTTTCTAAATTGCTCAAAATATGTTGGCAACGTTTTGAAACATGCCAACAAATTTGCGCAACGTAGACACTACTCTCTCTAAAATATGATTGAAGATGTGACGTTTTTAAAGCTCCTGCACTTTTCGATGCTTTCAAGCATTAAAAATAACGGCGATTGTGTCAGAGAATCGAACATTTTGTCACCTCACTCGGAACATGATGTGGAGCCTGAACGTAGCGCTGTTGAAGGAGAGCCTTAAATCTGACCGCATTCAGCCGATGTTAGGAGACTTGCTTTGGTCCTGCTCAGTTCACAAGGACACTGCAGACAGGTCAAAGTAGTAGGAGAGACAGCAATAGGTGATATAAAGAGGACAATGCTTTTGGTTTTATTAAGCCCGTGTGTATGTGTGTGAATGTGAGTGTGTGAGTGCTTGTGTGTATGTTTATAATGAGCACATCGTACGGCAGCATTACTGTTAATTTGGCAATATGTTTTCTGAAGTGAAACTGTCAAACGTAGCTGCTATAATTAAACACTTGCGCCTGTGTGTAACAGCAGGCCTTTTGGAGGACCCCTGCTGAGGCGTCCTATCAATGCCTGCCTGTTACAGCAGAAGGTGCTCATTATAGCTCTGAGGCTACCTATAGTAAAGCTCTTCAGTCCGATTTTTTTGTAAACAACTGAAGAGGTATAAAACCCCATTACTGTCCAGATAATGTTATTTTCATGTTGAAATGTCTGTTTTGTATTTATTTACCAAAATAAATTGCAATTACCACATGTTGCCACATGCCTGTAGTACACCTTTTTTTTTTTTTTTTTTTTACATTAAACTGAATTCTCAGTAGCAGAAAAAGAAGACGAGGGGAAATTCAATTTAACACTTGAGACATGCTACACACATCGGCTGAAGTACACACACATGCACAATCAGGATCCTATGGACGTGCACTAATGGAGAGATGTCAGAGTGAGGGGGCTGCCCACAGCGAGTGCTCCTGGACTGGTCGGGGGGGGTTGGTGCCTTGCTCAAGGGCAGTGCTCAGGAAGTGAACTGGCACCTCCACCAGACCAATTTTCCAGCTTTAGTCCGCACCAGGACTTGAGCCAGCAACGCTTCCGGTTCTCTACAGACTGAGCTACTGCCACAGCATCTGCCGCAGATGAGTTTCTCAGGTTTCTTTTCTTTTACACGGTGTGGATGATGTGATCTGCGTACCAACAATGAAATAAATGGAAATATTACAACTTTTAATAAACAGTGGTAAACAAATCAGAAAAAACGTCAAATTAGTTTCTATATTAGGTTAAACGAACATCTTAATGCATCCACTTCAGTTCTACTTGGATCTCTAAACAAAAGGTAAATACAAAGGGAATTGAACAAAGTAAATGCTAAAGTGTTATATTTAAAATGATGCACATAATGTCAACAAAACAAGATAAAGCGAGGTTCATGACCATTTTCCACTCACACTTAGCTTTTCTTTGTTCTCTGTAGCAGGTCAGTCAGGCTTTTAAAATGGGTGGAGACTTGTAATTTAACAAAATGGTATTCAGCCATTATTGTTCTTGCTTTTTTTTTTTTCACTGTGACTTTTCAGAAACTCCTCGCTCTTCTGGATGATCTGTGTTGGAGCTATGAAGAAATGAAACACTGGAGGTGTGTCACATTTCCATAAAACTTACAGTACAAACTGTGATATACCGTTCACTCAAATATCAAGCAAATCAATCTTTATTTGTACAGCGCCAATTCATAACAAGTTTTATCTCGAGACGCTTTACAGAAGAGCATATGGCATAATGTGCAGGAAGGATTTCATCTTCTCAAGTATGAATAACTGGATCTAATGATTCTTTTTTTCACTGTAGACTCAGGACACTTTGTAGTGAAGTGCTGCCCCTTAGTGGCTATTACCCAGCTTCATATCAGAGAAGAAGAATGAATGTAGAACACAGCACAGCACGTGTTATTAGTCGGTATGAATTATTCTAACTCAGCTGGTCGTAAAGGGAGCACATTTGCAGTAAATCTGTCTCGAAATCTCTGTAAGAAAAATGAAGTGTTATTACTTTGGACGTAGGAGAAGATTAACTGAATGAAACCCTGTTGAGAGAAGTCAGTTGTCGACATGTGCCTTGACCACAGGGTGGCAGTGTAACCATGGTAACCTGAAAACAAGGCAAGCCCACAGAGAGCCTTTCAGAATTAAGCCGTTTTAATGTTTATGAAATCAAACAGCACATTAGGAATGTAAAAATATGCTAAAACGGAAAAGAGCACTTTAAAATGTTTTTCTCCTGAGACCTGCGCTGGCCCACATTAGGCCTTAGTCAGCAAGCTAATAAATGTGATGTAATGGCACAATTACTTTGAAATGTAGACACAGGCAATTTTACCCTCTCTCTCTCTCTCTCTCTCTCTCTCTCTCTCTCTCTCTCTCTCTCTTTCTTTCTCTCTCTGTCTTTCTTTCTCAATTGCCCAAATCTCTCCCCGCCCCTCTTTGTGTTCCTTTTGAATTTGTGTTTGTCAGTCTTGTTAACGACAAGACACACACACACACACACACACACACACACACACACACACACACACACACACACACACACACACGCATGCACACACACAAAGAACTCTTTGCGCTCTCTCGACAACATTATCTTTTCCGGAAATTGCTTCTCAAGCACAGCCGGAGCCCCATTAGAAAAGAAGAGCTCTACGCTGTAACCTTTTTAAAAAGCCATTAGTGATGCACCTGCTTCTCTCTCTCTCTCTCTCTGTTCCTATTTGTGTGTCTTATTTGTCTCTCTTGTTAACACTGACACACACACACACACACACACACACACACAGTTTCTCCATGCTGATTGCCAGCCTCCTCGCTCTCTGTCCTACTAACTGACTGCTGAGCAGCACAAGCATGCTTCCACTCCAATTAGTGTACGAATCACTGACATTTGAAAGTTCTGCATCAGAGTGCAAACCATTCAATTTAATAATTGACTTGTTTTACTCTAATGAATGGTGACTGTTCTGGACATGTGTAATTCTCTTTCAAAGCTACACAACACACACACTCACACACACACACACACACACACACACATAATGTCATGACACTGTAATGATCAGGTCTCCACCGAAGATGAATGAGAAACGTTTGGTCATTCATAATGTTTTGAAAATCATTTTTTGAAGATTGTACTGACAAGCTGTGTGAAGTGTGATGTCTTTGTTTTTGTCTTTTGATGCTTGAATCATTCACAGCCATTTCAATCAGGACAGACGACTGAATGAAGAGAATATTTATTGAACCAGTAATCTAATAGTTTGATGATATGGTTTGACAGAAGCTCTTTGGGACTTGGAGACTACGGTGGGGATTTTGTGATTGGCAATGATTGCTTTGAGTGGAAGCAGGAAAAATCCCCTCAGTGGAGTCCAGACACTTTGTGAGGATGGTTTCTGGTGACTTTCTTTGATCACATGGATGATGAATTAATAGATGATGAGTCTGTAAAGCCCGGGCGGTGATGGAGAGGTGGAGGGGCACGCGTAACACTACAGCAGAGATTCACGCTTAAAAAGAGGGCAGAGAGCTGATAGGCTAACAATGAGGGTGAGACACCGTGCAATCGGAGATGAGACATCTGATTTCCCAACAACAGCCCCAGACGACGGCCGCAGTAAGTGTGAATTGGCATGCAAGAAAGGAATGAATGAGAAATAATCGCCAATTTTGAATGCAAAATGTAGTCTTCCTAAGTGTACTCACAATGGAGCTTCATTATCACGAGACAGAGGCGATTTGTTTTTGCTTTGGTTGTCTGGAAAACAACATTAGTCACTTTATGCATGAATCTAGTTCTAAATAATTATTGGAGTAATTAATCAAAATTCTGATTTTTTCTTCTTCTTCTTCTAGTTTCCATACCATCAGACTCCTTTTTGCAACTCGTTGAGTCTCCCTCTGCTGACTATAAGAAAAGTTATAGGTTTGAGGCACCTCTGCGTAGGCTTCGCTTAGAAACCGGCTCGCCTTCTAGTTTTATAAAGAACAAGAGGAACAATTTCCAATTAAAAAAAAAGATAAAGACTGTTTACAGGTCTTAGGAGAGGGACACGGAATATGTAAGAAAAATAATGTTTAAAGCCTTCAGAAAGGGGCTCTGTAAAATCTGAAAAATCCAATAAATAAATTATAGTGATGTCACTTGAGTCAGCATCAGTTGGGTCTGAGACTTAAGTTTGAAAATTAGAAAATAGTTCAGAGGCTTTTGATTCAGAAAGCAGGCGTCTGTAGCCTGCACCTCATCTTTACTTAAGGGTTATCAATGATCTATTATTTTTAGCTTCACTAATCTACTGAAATCAGCTGCATTATTGATAACATGTAGGCTCTAGATTGGTTTCCAAGGCGGCTTGTTGGTGGAATAAAAAATGAAACACACCAGCATGCCTGGTTCTGCTGCATTAACTTTGATGCTTTTTGATTCTCACAACTTTTTTTTGGTTTTGATTGCAACACTTTTTCACATCTAAATCAAGTCGTGATCTTCTCTCAACGCTCAGGAGGGGAAGCTCAAAAGCTATAATAATGTTGCAGTACTAACGATTTAGGTTGCATGTTCAAGGGAATCTGAATAGTAATGTTTTTTCCCTTTTCCAAACTGATGACCACCAAAACAGACAATGGGTAGAAAACAACAGCATGAGCATTGGGCCAACGTTTCAAGTCAAAGAAACATTTTTAAAAAAAATGTGTTTCTTAGCCTTTATTGGACAGGACGGCTGAAAAGAGACACGACATGTTGGGAGAAGATAGAGAGGTAGAGGACATGCAGCGAATATGAAACATTTATGATAAACCTTTACAGTCAGAAAATAGCTAATTAGCACTCAACAGCTTACTAGCTTATATAACTGTTAGCTGGTTTTGTTTTCCAAAGTAAAGTCTCTTACCTCCCTCTTATAATATCTTATAACACCTTCAAAAAGGTAGTGCAAGAATTCAACCACTTCTAGCTAACGGTAATATTAGCTGGCTAGCAGCTGAGTGCTGTTGTGAGCTATTGTTCAATTGTAGTTAATAGGCTATCTTAATCGTTGTTTAGCTCGCAATGTGACTCACCGTCCCTCAAGATTTTTCACTATTGTCTTTTGAATGTTGCAGAGCACTGCACGCCGAAACAACCAGACACAGGAACAGTTTCTTCCCACAGGCAGTCACTCTGATGAAAAGTTAACTTGGCCCTGAGTGTCAGGAACAATAAATTCACAGCAGCCCATTGTCAATAACAACCACTGTGCCAGTAATTCTTACTCTTTTAACTTTATTCCCATTGCCCTGAAGCAACCCTGCTGATAATATGTCAACAGGAACACGAAATTAGGCACCTGCAAAATTTAAACATTAGATCATTTATTTTAAAACACCTACATCATTGATCTATATGCAATCTGGCAACACAGCAACGATATATTTCTCACTTTCCTTTGCATCGCTTACAACTGCACTATGCCTTTATTGACTTGTGATTTTTTTGTTAGACTGCCAATAAACTGACGTCAAATTCCTTGTATGTGTACACACACTTAACTAATATTACTGAGACTGTTTTTAAGATTTATTTGGGGCTTTTTTGTGCCTTTAATGGAGAGATAGGACAGTGGATAGAGTTGGAAATCAGGTAGAGAGAGAGAGTGGGGAATGACATGTGGGAAAGGAGCCACAGGCGGGATTTGAACCTTGGCTGCCCGCTTGGAAGACTATAGCCTCCATACATGGGGTGTGCGCGCCCCCTGAATCTGATTTTTATTCAGATTTTCTTTCCACTAACAACCTGAAAAACATGTATACAAATTATTTTGATTTCTTTTGGCTAGACGATTATGAAAAACTTGAGTTGTGTTTTAAAAAAGGAACCTTTGTTGAAGCAGATTTTGTTGGTAAAGCCTGGGGAAAAAAGACGTAACACGTTGTTTAAGACTGAACTTTGACAGGAGCTGGCAACTTTGTAATGTTATGATTTGTAAATGTGAACCACTGTAACTGAATTCTTTGGTGTCTTATGAGGTTTGGGCACTTTGTGTGCATGACACGAAAATAAATGAATCATAAAATCAATCATATACCAGTATAACCAAACAGGCCTCCTGCTCAGAGCGTGATGTCAGGAAAAAAATAACCACCATGTGAGCAAATCATTGGGACAAAGCTTTTTTTTAGTATGAATGAAAAAAAGGCATTCGTATTATAACCTCTCAATACGTCGCCAACTGTTCTGAGAGACTTGTATGTATTTATGAGAGGGTTATATGTGATTGATTGTGTGTATGTGTGTTCAGTTTGAGTGTGGGTACCTGCGATTTCCTGTGACTAGCTGAACTTTGCTCCCTGACTCAGTGTCTGTCTGTTTGGCGTAATGCTCCTGACCCCGAGGTCACACACTGTCTGCAGCTGAACCAGTCTTTGAGTCTGTATGTATGTGAAGGAGAGGGGGGGGAGGAGGGAGTGAGAGGAGGAAGGGAGAAGGAAAAGAACAGCAGAGGAAAAGAGTGAGAGTAAGTGAGTATGTGAACTGAGAGATAAAATGTTTGTGGATGAGTGTGGTTTATCGCATCCCAAAACAAACCAGCAGCCCCTGGGTAATAAAAATGTACTATCTGTCATAGTAAATTACAAATATTGGTCTTCGCCTTGCTGCAGTCTCCTGATTATGCTCAATGGTCTGCCTCTGACAATTATGAAGCCATTAACACTGTGTGTGAGTGTGTATACGTGTGTGCCTGAATGAGTGTGTGTATGTGAGAGAAAAAGACTCTATGGCTGCTTATTTGAGGAAATATGCTGTCGGTTTTTATGGCCTTGAAGGCTCCAGTGCCTTGTGGGCTCTCAAACATCAAATTTACATGTTCGCTATCTGTCTGCTGTTCTGTGTCTGACATCTCCAGAGCCAAACAAGGCGAGGAAGAAGAGGAGAAAATGAAGAGAATTAAAGATAAAGAAGAATTTAGTTCTGGTGGGGAGCTTGTGTGGATCATTACTGAGCATTCAGCACTCAAACACACACTCGCTCGCGCGCGCACACACACACACACACACGGTTTTGGTTTCGATGGGCAGCTATCTTACAGGCTACCAGATGAGGAGAGGATTATGAAGGGCCTAACCACCAATCCCATCCAGCATGTCTGCTAAGGAAGACCATCAACCGGATACAGAGGCCCCTGGAGACTGGATTAGGAGTAGGAACACACACACACACACACACACACACACACACACACACACACACACACACACACACACACACAGCAGGCCATATATAAACCTGTGTTAAGACCCTACAGGGAACCCCATTCAGTCCCATTCCAGTCTATTATGATTTCAAGGCTAATGACTGACAGAGCAGTGGCTTATTCTGCATCCAATACACCTCAAAGATAAATCTGTATCAATACATTTCCTAACAAAGAACAAAGAGACAATCTGTTCATGGGTGGCCACAACAGTGTGGTTAACTTTTTATTCAAAACAATATTATAAAAAGCTGAATTTATGCAAAAAAATGTAATAGAATGTACTCACAAAATATGGCAATGCAGATCCAAGAAATAAGCTATGAAAATATCTGTAAAGATATAAAACTAAAATCACAGTCATGTTAAAAACAAACAAAAGTAAATTCATGTAATACAAAATGTATGGCAGTGGCCCAGCCGTGTAATAAATCCTTAAAGTGGTGTCAGGCTGCTCATGCTTTCTATAGTGTGTGTTGTTGTATTGGGCAGCATTATACAGCCCATATTACGAGTCTGTTATACTGTATTCTTATGTCTGGTCATCTCTTTATAGACCATCAACATATATGGTGTTCATTTTCGTTTTATAATTGATTCTGAAGCTGTTTAGCAAAATCATGGTAAAAATAATATTATGCAGCAACAACACAGAATACAAGCAGAAAGTTGAAGTAATATTTTATAACATTCTAAGCCTAAAAATTTTAGCAGGCTTTGGTTATTCCTTGCAAGGCTGTTGCACAGGATTGCATTATATATTGCCGGTCTGTCTGGCCCTATTATGAAGAATATTATAGAGGGACAGACGCAGTCACAAAACATCATGGATTAAGGCCTTATAATAGGATTCTAAAACATTTTTATCAATTAATGTCACCCTGGGGACATAAAACAATCATGGATTATGTTCAATTAGCTCTCCAGTGATAACACAAGCGTCTTGTGTAAACCGCCCGAAGAGAAACCATACTCCTTCTTAATGAGACCCGTTGAGGTCCCCGAACCCCAGCTTGGGGACCGGTGCACTATAGGGCATGCTCTCCGGCGTCAGGCATGGGCTACAGAGAGAGAGAGATAGAGAGAGAGAGAGAGAGAGAGAGAGAGAGAGAGGAAAAGGGGAGGAGGGGAGGAGAGGTGAGAGGTTGCAGCGGAGTTGCATGGGATGCTGCTGCTGATGCTGCTGCAGAGGCTCCATCCATCCGTCCACCCATCGCTCCATCCCTTCCCTCCCTCGAAGAGAAAGCAGAAAACAAGGAGTGGTTATGTGATTCCCCATAAGCAGGAGGAGAAGTGCACAGGAGAGAAAGGAATAGCAGGGAGAGGAGGAGGAGGGGGGGGGGCGTTTCCCTGCACGGTATAGCCTATTCTCACTCCTCAGCATGGATACAATGTGATGCATATGGGGCTGCTTCTTCAGGAAAGGTGGACACAGCGGTAAGTTTGACATTTTCTGGTGTTATTTTAGCGTGAGGAGCGTTTTGGACACAGTTGACAGCGCGGCGTTTTTTCGGGGGTCCTATCACTTTGGACTGCCCTGATATTAAGAGACATTTGTTGATAAACCCCGAAGTCAAGAAACATTAAGTAGATTTAGGCTTTAGGCTAAAAAGAGGTGGTTTGTAGCAGTGTGCGGCGTGGGATTTACGCACGATCAATTAGTCCCTGGCACGCTTAATAATTTGATAACTAAAAACGGGTTGGTCCCATTTGCCTCACTCCCAAGTTCCCCATCGACCGACTTGATGCACCTGAACACAGCTTAATATTTAACCAGCAGCATGTGTCAACGTGGCTTCCCCCCCCTTCCTTCCTTTGTAGCCTGTTGGAGCAGAGACAAAGATGGTTCAACTCTCCCTGCAAAGGGTTAAAGATTCAATCCACGCTTGCCACTCTGAACTGGGTTCTCCTTGTCAGTGGGAGCGGATGTATTTACAAACAAAGAAAGCTTAATATCCACGCGTGTCACGTAGGAGACAGGTGCTGGTCAATGTGCATTTTTACAGTGCTTGTGTGTGGTTGTCTGCTTATCTGGGCTAGTAGGCCAAATAGAGCCTTTATGATGCATTTAGGCCCCAGAGGGAGATTAAGGAAACTCTGTTAAGTTTGCCATTGAAAGTTTTTTTTTAAAATTCTGCACTCTGGGCTGAATTTGTTGCAATAGCCATCACTGGGTTGTTTACTTTTCTGTCTGGGTAGTGACTATTAGATTCCACAGTGCAGCCAAAATGACTGCAAAGATTTGCTGTTGCAGGCATAAGCATAAACATCTTCATAACAGCGCCTTTAGTTCCAAGCAATTAAGCAGTGATGTGCAAGCAGCAAAGCCCAGCATCCTGCTCAGTCTGTCTCCATCCCTCAGCCCTCAGCTCTTGTCTTCGCCTCCGGCACTGCCACTTGTGATTGTGAAACACCAGGTACATTAAAGGATTGATAAGCCAGGCATAAATATGACAACCAGACCGAGCTTGTTTCTTTTTATTAGCTCCCCTCCAGCTGGAGCCAACTCACTTTCAATCAAGTCAATTCAGGAAATGGATTTTCTTGTAAAAGCGAGCCAGATGTCCATGTGAAATAAAGTTCTTATTAGGTCCATGCAGCTTTTTCTTGGGGCCGAGGGTGTAATTTTAAACGTATGGGCACAGGGTCAGATATGAATGAGTAGTAAAGAACAGAAAATAAAGCCTTTACTGTCTTTGCAGATTTTCCGATGGCATTCGCTGTGCATCTCCTTGAAAATCACATTAACTACACGTCTACATGCATTCGTACGGGCAAAGGCAATAAAAAAGATGAACAAAAAAAGCTGTTATTAACAAGTGCATTAAGCGCAGTCACAAGTGTTTCATGAGCTTTAGGATATTGTTGCACAAAAAAACTACAGTGTCAAATAAACAAAAGGCCTGTTTCATGCATTCAAAACGGCTCCTGCAGGCACACCCATCTATTCCAGACTCCCTCCCACACACACACACACACACACACACACACACACACACACACACAAACAGCTAAAAACTGCATGCCTCTAAATTAGACAGAGACACTCGGGTGACACTGAGCAGACACACACTGGTCCTGTGTAGTGAGGAGGGCAGCAGCAGCGGCAGCAGCAGGGTGTATTTTTACACCGGATCGCTGACACCTCCGTACATCTCTTCACAGCTCTTAGTGAGAACAGAAGACACGTCCACTTGAGTTGTCATCATCGGCGGCCCAGACTTGGACAGTTGGGATAGAGGAAGATGTAAGAGGCGAGGAGAGAGAGAGAAAGAGCGAGAGAGAGAGAGAAAGAGAGCGAGAGGGACATAGAGGAAACTAGGTAATGAGGGAGACGAGTGTCAGCATCTTCTCTTGCTTCAGTTTTGGCACTTCCTTTTGCAGGGACAGCGGGATAGCATGTAGACAGACACAGGTGCGAGTGGGGTGAGAGCACTGTCACTGGCAAATGGGAACTTTCCCAGAAGTGTCAGGTTTCATGGTGTGCAGCTTTGATCACAGAGACAGATGTATGGTTAATGCACGTGTCTGAGCGGATAAACAAGCTGATCTGAGGATGAGCAAGCTGGGGCGAGAGGGGGGTTAAAAAGGGTAAACACAAAGACGGAGGCGAGATCTCGATGATTAGAGAGGAAAGGTTAAGGGGGGGAAGATGTGAGAAGGAGGGAAAAAGAGAGAGAGAGGGAGAGAAAGTCGAGTCGTATCGGGGAACTAGCCAGCATTACCCAGGGGGAGCTGTCTGTGGTGCTGATGCAAAAAAAAAAAAAACCCCCCCCCCTTTTCCCGATGACTCTCCCTCTCTTCTCCTCAGCTGTTGATTGACAACTACTGTGTCTCTAATTGGCAAGTGTGGATGGGGAGATTCAGGCTTATTCTCCATGGGACAGAGCAAAAAATAAATAAAGGAAAGCAGTGTGTGTGTGAGTGTGAGTGTGAGTGTGAGTGTGAGTGTGAGTGAGTGTGTGTGTGTGTGTGTGTGTGTGTGTGTGTGCTACCAGAGTCTCCGAATAAGAAATGAGAGGAGGAGACAAAGATAGGTAGACAGAGGAGGAAAGGAGAATGTAATGAAAGGAAAGCATGAAGGTAAGGGCTGAACATCTGTTTGATAATCAGTGTCTCCCCTCAGTGCAGTCTAACACACACTGACACCTATTTGATAATTGGTGAGCCTGCCCTCTCCCTCAGCGCCGGGCTAAACGGTTGCTTGATACCAGGGAGAGCAGAGGGACTAGCTGTTGGCAGTGCAATCTGTTTACTCTGTGCAGCTCAGGTAAAGATGCATTGCCGGCTGCCTGCATGTCTATTTTTTGTGAGTGTGTGTGTGTGGTGGCTATTGCATAAAGCCTACAATGTAGGCCCCCCCCCCCCACTGTGCACAAGACATGACTTGAAGCGTGCACAAAGTGTGTATTACAGTGCAACCTCTTTGAGCAGTGCTGCTGCATTGTTTTTTCAAGGATAAATACGATGTGTTTTGTGTCTCTTATCCTAGGTGCTATCCTGAAAGATTTGCCTCCGCACAGACCTCCTCCTTCCTTCCCTCCACACTGCGATCATACTCAGAGAGCTGAAGAGGCTGAAAAAGGATGCACACAGAGACGAAGAAGAATGGAGGAAACCAGGAGAGGAAAAAAAAGTAATGGAAGTGGAGGAGGTGGGACTCTTTGCTCCGGTCTCGACCACGGGTATTCTTGGGTTGATAATACAGATGTGGATGTTATTGCTTGAGAATACGCGTAGTCGAGTGGAAGCTTTGTCATCTATAAGGGTCCAAAAAGCAGAGATCTATTCAGTAAATTACAATAGCAGACACATAGAAATGTGTAGACGGGACGAGGAGGTGGCACAGACATGGGATGGTTTTTAATTAAGCACCCAGAGGTGACTTTTTTTTTATAGGAAAGGGCTTATTTTGTTCTATCAGAAAAGGCTTTTTAAATAGAACGCAATCAGGGGCCAGCCAAATCAAATCCAGCCACTGAAAAGGTTTTATCATCGTAGCTTTATCAACCATGTCACTCTTCACACCTGTGGAGGAAATGAGTTTGTTTCGCCGCCCAATTTCAGCCTCTCCTGCAGGAGGGGTGGGGGCTCGCACCATGCCACTAAGCTAAACCCCCCCCAGGCATTAGTTCAGGGAGCTTAACACAAAAGTCTTCAGACTCAGACGTTAATTCCAAACCTTCTTGATTACATACCCTTGTCAGTCAGTCGAGCACACAAGTGAGCCCATAATCTTATCAGTTGATGAATGTCTTTCACAGCCCTTCACACTCTGCACCAAACATTTCCCTCATTCTGAACGGAAATTTTTAAGTTTGCAAAATCTGTGCAAAAAAAAAAAAAAAAAAAGCTTTTTTTTTTTTTTGTTGTGGGACGGAAATGCCACGGGATGGTAGATATTTGTGCATAACCATCATCCCGCTGCTGCCTCTACTTTCACACTCCTATTTTCTGTCTTCCTGGCTCATGCTAAAAATGTGCAAAGAGTTTGATGCCTGTAGCAGCAACAGGAGACAGTAACACATGAGGACATGTCAAGGCTTGCACCCGTTGCTGACATTTCAGCTTTCGGCTCAGCTGACTGGCTGTCATAATGGAGACTCACACACATACATACACACACACACACACACACACACACATATATATATATAAACTGCACGAGGGTTCACATGATCTACATGCCTGTAGGGAAATAAGGGATTGATGGGTCTTAAGAAAACCAGCATTCAGATCCCCACACATACATATTTGGATGCACACACATTGCAGTGAGGTTCAATGGGTCCATGTGCCAGTGGGGAAATAAGGGATTGATTGATATTATGGGTAACTATTTTTAGTCAGAATGATGGATGTTTATGTCTTTTATCGATCAAGTTGAGGTGCAGGTCTGAAGAATTCATAGAGTCAGAGCATGCTGATTAATCAGGTAGCGGTGGAGTTGGAATAAAACATCCAGAAATACATTTTAGGTACATTAGCATTATTGCTAAGTACTATAAATTAAAATCTCAAAGTTTCATTGCAAATTCAGCAATATATTAGCATCTGTTAGCGAATGTGCCTGTGATGAATTACACTCTCATCGCTTACTACTCCATGATTTCTTACTCCTGCGTAAGCAAATCTCTTATTTATTAGCGCAGTAAGTAATTATAATTTATACACATTTCACACTGACGTGTAAACTTGTTGATTTGGCAAAGCTGTTTCTGTGGTTTTGTGTGTATTTGTGTATGCATGTGCATGTGTGTGTGTTCTAAGCAACAAAATGACTATTGTGAGCACAGCTCCAGGTGCCTAGCAACCGAATGGCTCTGTTTCCTTGGCAACAGTTGCCTCGCACTCACTGTGTGGGTGATTGGCAGCCTTGACAACGGAGACGGAGTGACACTTGACCTCGCGTGCTGAATGGTAGAGGAGAAAGAAGGAGCGAGAAATAGAAGAGAGAGGGGGAGGCAGTGGGAGGGGACGAGCACAGACAGATGAGAGACTAAGTGATAATCATTCTCTATTGTAATCATCCTCCAGCATGTTTCATAAGGCGTCGGCAATACCTCTCCAGCTGGGGTCCATCATCAAACACAATGCACGGTGAAGGGGCGCGCATGCACGACACACTCCTTCCTGGGTGGAGAGCCCAGGCAGGCACTCCACATCTCATCTATTATCACTCAGCTCTGCCTGGTGCACAGCCTCACTACACTGTGTCTGCTTTCATTTGTGATCCGCTACATCCTGCGCTCAGCGGGCATGAATGGATACTGGACTCCTGAAAATGTGTCACGGTCACAGATGCCACAGGAGAGTAGATCAGAAGCCGTGCACAGACACGCTTTACTTTGAACGTGGCACTTCCACTGCTGTTTGACACCTTTGAATTGAAGTGGTGTAATTATTAAAAATGTGTTTTTTGGTCGTTCTCCATCCCATTCTCTGGCTGAGGGGATCCCTTTGTACCAGGTTTATCAAAAAAAACATGTTTTTCTAGGCTGGCTACACCTGTGTTAAATGATGGGAGGGAAAAGTAGAGAACAGAAAGATCAAATAAAACAACATATTTGGAGAGTAAGCCTTTTCTTTAATTTTACACTCTTATATTAAGTCAACACAAGGCTATTTCAATTTAACTGTTACCTTTTCATTTGTCACCAGCTGGTTATTCTCTTTCTCATTCTTTAGGAGACAATCACAACCTTTGATTTCCTAGTTATAAAAAAAGCTTCATATATTAACATTACGACATACTCCTACATATTCAAATTCAAAGATCGGTTATTGTGTGGTTCAGGTTGTAGCTTTTTTTGTCCTGTGTAAGCCGTTGTAATGATCTCCCTTTAACTCTATTAAAACAAAAGGACATTCACCTTATCATAACACAATAAACTGAAAACCAACCAACATTTCTGTTGTCAAGTCTTATTGCTTGTTTATTTCCAAGTTCACACGTGTCAAATTCAGAGGGTTAAAAAAACATACAGCTTCATTTAAAGCTTTTCAACACTGATGGCTCTTGCATAGTAAAGACATTTCCATTACTAATGCTTGATTTAAGGATAAGATCACACAGTCTGTACACACATCTTTAATAAAAAACATCGTTTTTTGTCTTTTCAAAATGTTTATTTTGAGAAATTGTAAGCTTAAGACAATCAACTGAAACAAAATGAATGATTAGAGAGCAATTCAAAACTTAGCAGCTAAGCATAAACCTTGTACATTTTCATCCCTGTCATCAGCGGCATGACCTGATGTGACATATCTGTCTTTAAGGAGGACGCCGAGAGCTGTGGGTAATTATTACTGTCAACACAAACTGTAACATCCTGCCTCAACAGGGGAGAAGTTCACTATTACACTACACTTTGTAAAGTCTGATGGTGTAGCCTTCCCTGAAAATGTTCCTCTCCCACCAGGTCCTGCAGCTAGCTTCAGAGTGTTTGATAGGGAATGAGTTTGGAATCATTTTTAAAGGAAATTCTGATTTTTAACTTTTTCTGTGTAGATCAACACTTTCACGTCTCACTCGCACAATCAAACAGAAACACTTCTCGCTTTCAGATGGATTTCATATTTAAATGCCAAGATGGGATCCCAGTTTGTTTGTTTTTTTGTAACTAGAGGCCTCTTTAAAAAGATTTTCAAGCAGCTTACAATATCTCAACGTTGCAAAGAATAAAAACCAAGGAACACATTTCTGTTTAAATTTAACAGCTACTCATTTGAGGCTCGTTTACACTGCATCTAAAACATCTGAGACCAATCAAATAAAACGAAACAACATAGAAAGCCTCGCTCAATGTGCAAGGACTAAAATCAGTCATCGCTGCAAATCACAAATTATGTAACAAATCAGATAATGAAGAACGAAAACTAGGGTTGTTGCTTACACAGAAAGGGGAGAAATCAGAAGAGAGCGGGAACACTTGAGAGCAGCTCTGAGGCTGAAGACCTCATCAGTGGAACTGCTGTTCACACAGCTGTAAAACTCAAGTGACCATATGGGAAAACTGAATAATTCAGGTTTCTGAAATGTCCCCTGACCAGCTTGATCCTAATGGGCCCGCGTTCACCAGCCACATCATAATCCTCCCCATCATCCTCCCCCTGCTCCGGAAGGACATCAGGCTCAACTAGGGCTACTGATTGGCGGCTTCACAGGCATCTATCCAGTCACTGTACACGTCAACCGGCTCGGACAGATCTGAAGAGCAACAAGTTAAGGACAAAAAAGGAATTCTGTTGCCTAAATGAAAGTTTACAAAAAAAGCACAACAACCTAAAGATGGGAAATCAATACAGAAATCAAGATCAAATGTGAATAACTTGTTTGTGTACTACACTGCGGGTAAGCATTAGTTCTCCAGTAAAAACTGGAGTCTGATGTGATATTCGTTTCTATATTAATCATAATATTTATCATCCAGAAAAAACTGTCACTTCCAGAGGGCAAAGGTCGTGGTGGGGGGGGCTCATACTTCATTACCACGTTGTTTGCTGTGCCGTTAGCTGGTGGCTTATCATACTTTGATATCAGCTCCATGCACAGACTGCACATTAACACAAACAGCTAACATAGAGCATGATGTCAATTTAGAATATGTTGAGTTTAAAGTCAACACAAACATGAGCACGTACACATTTTTTTATTTAAAAAAAAAAAAAAAGTCATATATAGAAAAACAGAAGCTGAGTAACAGGTTGTTCTTACACTGCCTTTGAAAAACATAACGTGTCTGATTTAGCAGTGCCTGGTGTTTCTCCCCCTTCTGAATGCATGTAGTCCCACCAAACAGCACCATCGATACACTTTAAAATTCTAAGCACACCAAGCTCTTCATTTTCAGTATTTTATGTTTTTCATCTCACTTACCTAAAAGCAAAAACTAAAAAGGTTTGTTTGTTGATATATTCAACAACTGTAATTAGATTCAAAAACAATACCTCTAATAGTGCTGTGAGATCCTCAGGGGTGATGTAGTTGTTGTTGTTTTTTTAAACACAGTTTAAGGCTTATACAGAGAAATACTTCGTGTTTTTTTTTTTTTTAACTATGAGGTGTTACACTGTGATAACTAGGGGGTTGAGGTTGGATAGCTTGAACATTGGACACAAGTTGTATTTACATTTTTACAGATGAGACAGCTCATTGAGGATGTAGTTAAAGCCGCCTCCATGACAACTGACCAACTCTGATTAATGATGAAAACTACCGGCTATGCATGACCAGAACTAGTCCAGGACAATTTGTCAGATCATAAAGAAAGAAAATACAGTCCTCAGCTGATCCATTTGTCACACGCAGTCATTAATACTAATATAAATAAACAACGATTAGCTTGTTATATCTATATTGTGTTGGTATCATACAGTTGCACTCAGTATTTGGTTGTAGTGGATGAAAGCGGCCTCTAGGAAGAGAAGTTCGAGCCCTTGCAGCTTCCTATGCACCACCCAGCTGACATAATACAGCATGAAGTGGGTGTTAAGATTGTTGAAATGCTAGTTTTGGAAAGCTACAGCGATGCAAAGACAACCCACTCTCACTTGGCATACGAAAGGTGTTCGGGGGGGTCCTAAAGCTATTTGACTATCTCTAAAAGTATTACTGATGCAGTACGGTAGCCTTTTATGTGAACCTGGCTCCCCCCTACCTGTCTGACCTCCTCCACCGACACACCCCCACCTGCACTCTCAGGTCTGCTGATGCAAAGCTCCTGCCCCCCCCCCCGCCCTGCAGAACAAACTATCGGTCCTGGGGGGACAGAGCCTTCTCCATGCTGCTTGCTCCCACCCTCTGAAACTCTCTCCCAAAAAAACATTCCAGACTCCCCCACACTCACTTCCTTCAAGAAATCCCTTAAACTCACCACTTCAACACTGCCTACAACCTCTAACTCCCATCCATTGCTTGTTCGTTGTGCTGTCCTAGTTGGTTTTTTTTCCCCTTGTTAAAGTGTCTTTTAGTATCTAGAAAAGCATCTTCCTGCATCTTATCCCATCTCTCCCTTTCCAAGCCCGGTGCAGTCTAGTCCTGTGAAGGCTGTTTCGTCATGAGCCGGGGATCCAGCCGAAGATTTCTGCCTTTTAATAAGGCAGTTTTTTTCTTTCTGCTTTGCTAAAGTGCTCATGATGGATAGGCCGGATCTTTGTAATATAACAATGAGTAAGTTCTTTTTACCTGCTCTTTTGTAATGTTAACAGACAAAGAGTAAGGTATTATACCTGCTCTTTTTGTAAAGTGTCTCAAGATAACACTTGTTATGAGTTGACGCTATACAAATAAAAATCAATTAACTGATTGAATTGATATATAAGACTAATTTATTATTATTATTATTGTTATGTTGAAAGCCCTTTAAATTCTCGACAGCCTATATTTAATTGTTTCTGCTGCCATCATGAAAAGACCAAACACAAACTGATGTGATCTTCTTTTGACACAGCAGGAGACAGAGAAATAAAAGTGGTGCGGTCTCTAACTGTGTGTCCTGTGTGCTAAAGGATACAGGTGATAGGGGTCTGGAACTCCTCCAGACAGACAGTGCATGATATTATCCCAGTGTTCCTGGTCCTCTCCCTGTTGTCAAAAAAAAACATACAAAAGTTAGAAACAAGTGGATGAAACTGGAGGATTTGTTACTCCGGGGGTTAGGGAGGTTGCAAAGTGGCGTTGTACGTACATTTTGACGTCACAGGACTTCTCGTGGTTGCAGAAAGGACAGGTGAACTGAGAGTCCAGATCTCCCGTCATCTTCTTCTTAGGGGGGGGTTTTCTTTTGGACTTGCGTCGACCCATAGCGCACAAAGTGAATCAAGTCTGAGTGAGAATGAGACACAGAACAAACCAGGTACACAGAGAGAGGAAGAACGACAATTCGCTGATACACTTTTCCGGGGGAAACGTCCTCCAGTCAGCAGCTGCTCGAACATAACTGTTGGCAATCAAAGTTAGCATGCTAGTGTTAGCATGGTTGTTGTTGATCTCCTAATACAACGAACATAAACTGCCTGAATTAAATTAATTTTGAATAAGAAGCGTCTCTCGTTATAGCTCTACAATACAGCCTTGCAATTTTTTTATGCTGCAACTTGAGAGTTTAACGATGTTTACCTGTGGTTGTTGGAAGAAAAGGAAAAATACACGTTGCAACACCGAGAACAGCGTCTTTCCACAAGACCCGGCACCGGTATCTGTTCGAGTTAAATGATTGGAGGACAGGTTAGTGTTGCGCGGCCATTCATTGGCTGTCGGGGAATGTCAATCAAGTTGATTGGTATGTGACGGAGCAGTGTCTGACGCTGCATTGACGTGCTCCTCGGATGGTGGAATTTCTGATTTGGAAAGTCGCTCTTCCAACTTCAGTGTGTTTGTGATTTTCAGTTCGGAAAGTCCGGAGCTCGGAGTGATGTATCGAAAGCGAATAATTGCGTTGATGTTACGAAGAAAGATCTGTGAAATGTGGCTGATAAAAGTTATATTTGGCCAAAAAGTTGATGCGCAATACCTGAATTAATAAAAAGTATGTTAACATTAATAAAACATATTTTGCCCCGCAAATGATGACGATAGTGACGTCAAGTCGACAACTTGGGCACCTAATTCTTTTCCGAGTTTCCGAGTTGTTGTTTCGACTTGAGTAGACGTGTTCATGTGCATTTTACAACTCGAAAACTCGTTTTTCCGATGTGTCCGACACCACATGAATGCAGCATAACACAGCCTACTCCCGCGCGGTGGCGATAGAAGCTAAACTCTCAGGTAAAGACGCCCTCATGCTTTATGTAAAGACCTGACCTCCGACTTCTTTTTAAAAATAACTTTTGGAAATGTAAAGTTTGTACCTTTTATCAATAAGTCGGCAGTCAGCGTCATGTTGTAGCTTAAATATAATGATATGTGGTTTAATATAAAGTTAAAATAACCCACTCGTCGACATCTACAATGCTGGTTAAAACAAATGAAGTTGTTTTTTTTTCATGATTGAAAGCATGGGCAAAATTAGTCTTTTCTGCTCAGCATTATATGAAAGTAGTAGTAGTTTTCCATGTATGTTAAGCAACTTATCAAATATAATCATATAATGTTTAATATCAATTAGAAAGTCAAGAACCTTATCTCAGCAGATGCAGAATTATAGATGATCTTTGTTTTCATTCGTTGTCTGCTCTGCTGAATTTAATCTCAAATTTGTTTATCATTTTGCTTTTTAAACGTCAGATGAACATTTTAGATTGAAATGCATATATCCATGCATACTTAATGTTAGTAGGCTACATGTGTGTTTCCTTAATCCTTTTATTTTAGCCCTTACAGGTTTGTCCAACTTGCATCATAATAAGAATCTTCATATACATACAACATAAACACTGAATGATGATCCTCTGCTTTCCTGTACTTCTATATTCTTTACCTTAGACAACCCCATTTTCTAAAAAAAAATTAGGACTCTGTAAAATCTTTATGAAAACAAAAGTTGATGATTTGTAAATCAGCGAAACCCCTTATTTGATTTAAAATAGCACACAGACAGACAGCAGATTTAATGTTGAAACTGAGAAATGTTAATGTTTTCATAAATGTATATGCCTAATTTGAATTTGATGGCACCAACAAGTTTCCAAAAAATTAGGACAGTGGCAAGAAAAGACTTGGAAAGATGTGATATGCTTAAAAACACCTGATGGAACATCTAAGTTAATGAGGTTAACATGTTAGTAACACCATTGAGTGCTTCTGAAGTGTTTGGGGAGGGGCTCAACTCTTAAAAATTGTGTTGTTTTGTTAACAAACAATTGACTGCTATGGTACATAACAATAAATTATTCAAAAATGCTAAAGAAATCTGGGGCGCGTTGGTGGCGCAATGGTTAGGGCGCGCGTCCCATGTGTTGAGACCCTCGTCTGGAGCGGTAGGCCCGGGTTCGCCCCCACCTGTGGCCCCTTTCCGCATGTCATTCCCTGGTTTCCGACTCTATCCACTGTCCTATCTCTGCATTAAAAAGGCACGAAAAGCCCAAAAATAAATCTTAAAAAAAAAAAATTCTAAAGAAATCTGTGTATGCAGGGGACAAGGCAAAAAACACAATGTTGGGTGGCTGTGATGTTTGGGCCATCAGACGACGCTGCATTAAAAAGAGATTCAATTCAGTAGTTGACATCACTGCATGGGCTCATGAACACTTCCAACAGTCATCGTCTGTGAGCACAGTTCATCGTCTTGAGCTCGAACTCTACCAGGCAGAGAGGAAACCGTGTATAAACCAGATCCAGAAAATGCTGCTTTCTCTGGGTACATGCTCGTTCTAAAGACCTGAGACAAAGTGGAAGACTGTCCTGAAGTCTTACAAGTCAAAATGTGACTCTCTGTTTTTGTGCTAGAGAAGAGAGGGACCATCCTTTTGTTTTTTAAGAATCAGTGCACAGTTCTTAAGCCAGCATCTGTGATGGTATGAGGGTACATTTGTGCACATGGCGGGCTTAACCTGCACATTTGTGAAGGCACCATTAATGCTGAACCATATACTATAAAGGTTTTGAAGCAACATTAGCTGCCAAGTAGACAACAGATTTTAAAGGCAAGGCCGTGCATATTTAAGCAGGCCTTGTCAAACCCCATTAAGAACATAATTACTGCAGCATTGCTGCAAAGTAAAGGAGTCCGTTTGCTGGCTAAACTGGCTTGCCTGCAATCCGGTCATGTCACTCCTTGAAAATGATTGGAACACGAACTGTAAAATATGTTAAAGGTTACTCCAGCTGAAATCCTACATTGAGAATGGACTGGTAAAATATTCCTTTGTCAAACTTACAGTAATTGGCCTCCTCAGTGTTGTTACAAGAAACAGTGATGCAACAGAGTAGTAAACATGATCCTATCCCAACGTTTTCTTTAAATGTGTTGCTTGCGCATTCAAAAATACGGAACTAGTTTCCAAGAAACATTAAAATTTCTTTCTTTCAACATTTGACATGTTGGCTTTTTGCTTTTTCAATTAAAGGGTGTTTCAATGTTTTGTAAATCATCACTTTCTGTTTTTTAATTCACATTTTACTCTACATCCCCCAACTATTTATAAAATATAATAAAGTAAAGAATATAGTGACAGAGAAGATCATGATTTAGTTTTTTATGAGGTACTATGTATGAAGACTCTTATTATTATGCTGCTGACACAATATGAACATGCTATGTTAGTCTAAAAGTTTTGTTTGGTTTTCTTAATTTAGTTTTAAGACATTGTTTCCTTATGAAGGAAATGTCAGCTGTATGGATGGTGAAGGTGGTCGGCCTGGGTTTAGTGGCCATTTCCCTCAGCGTGGAGCTGCTCGGCTGGCTCGGCCGTCGACTTAGGCCCCGAAAGATCCGCAATGAGGTCCTGTTTTTTCCTTCAGAGATGTCCTGTGTGGAGCACATCGTCAATCCCAACTCACCTTAGTAAGTGTAACAATTTCTGTGTTGACTAATAGGAAGGAAAGTACGTAATATATTTCCTGGATCGCTGCTGATGCTGTGATAATGGCCAACTGTGCAGAACTTCAAATAAGACAAGATGCTTTTAGGAAGTGGTTTAGTCAGTACAGATTAAAGGAAAGAATAAACAACATTAATATGGTGCATTGATCCATTTACGTCGGAACTCGGGTCTCGGAGCTGGGAATGACATCACACCAAGTTAAATGTTTGTTGTTTTGTCTGAGGATACTGTAGTAACACACTACCTGATGCTTTGTGCACAAACATAACATGACAACATGTCTACAGATAGAAGTTGCGCAATACTTTAGGTGAGAATTACTCAGTTACACTAAAAGAGGACTATGTTGCTAATAAACAGAATGGTTACAGTTTAAATGTTGCTGTTGATGCATGTAGCAGCCATGGTGGATTTTAACTCTGACTCGGGGGAGGGGAGGGGGGGGGGCGTTCCTGATGACGTATCTGACCGGTAACTCGGAATTTCTGACTTCCGAGCTCAAATGGAATTTACCATTAATAAGCCCACTGGTGCTTTTGTCAATATGATATAACACAGACCTATCAGGGCAGATCACAGATATATTGGTATCAGTGTTCATGTTTTCCAGTATATGATGATATGAAATCGCTTTTGCAGAACATAGAATCCAGAAAAGTTATTCTTGGGTAATTTAGAAACTGTCATCATGTAGTCTGTCCAGCAGGGCGCACACCATCTCCTTCCTTCAGAATACTCTCAGCACTGTTTGCAGCACATGAAGCAGAGAGTGGTCATTCATAAACATTGATTCACTATGTATAATAATGTTCAATATTCTTTAGATTCAAGATTTTTATTTGTCACATGCTCATACAGATGTGCAGTGAAATGTAAGTTATTTGTTTTAGAAAACCTGACTGAAGAGAACCTCTCTGTAGACATAAAGGGAGACACATATAAAAACTGTGTGAAACTCTTTCATCATTCACTTTCTGCTCGTAACCTTACATATGTGTTCTTCACCTTTCTGGGTTTGATAATAGCATGTTCTATATCCATTAATATGATTCTGCATATGTGCACATTGTGAGGCTGTTAAAGATCAAAGGTTAAGGTTAAAGGTGTTAATGTTCATTTCTCTTTCAGTACCTGTTTGTGCCCGTTTCCCCACGGTGTGGAGACGTCTTTCTCCCGTCTCCTCCGAATCCTCCTGTCTGCTTCCTCCACTCTGGACCTGTGTGTCTTTGCCTTTTCCAACATGGACCTCTGCAGGGCCGTACTAGCGCTGCACAACAAAGGTGTCATCATGCGAGTCCTCACAGACAAGGACTATGCTGCCATCACTGGCTCCCAGATAGGTGTTCTCCGCAAAGCCGGTAAGGGAAACTTTTTTTTTTTTTTTTATGGTTACGTGCTTCAGGAATTTTTATGTGTGTGACAAATCATCCACATGCAATAACAACCAAAAAACAGGTTGTTATAGGCCCAGGGGAGGGTCATCTTTAGACCTTTTAAAAGTCATTTAAAGAAAGTCAAACCAACCGTTTTGGGGTGATTACTGTGGGCAACTTTACCTTGAGATACGGGAAAGGATGACGAGGATGTTGCTCACCAAAAGGTGCTCACTCTGTCTTCTTGAATCACAAGTGTCATTGTCGGTAAGCCCTGCAGGGTTTCCTAAGTGGGCGAAAATGGATAGCTGATAGGAATTGTCTGGTTGAATAGAGGTTGCCACCACAAGCGCTCCTGTGAGTCAAGAGTAATCACGTTCTAAGAGCTCTGAAAGATTTTGTGTCACGTGCCGGGCTCGCACTGTCTCTCTTTCTCTCTCAGCCTTCTGCATTTAGTGAATTACTGCCTGTGCATATGGTTAACTAAGAATTAAGTAAGTACAAAATTGGCAACCAGGCAGGGAATTTTCATTAAGCAAAGTGTTTCTAAGAGTTTGTGTATGTTGACTGCAGACCTCATGAGAACCACTTTGGCACGAGGTACAATCAGCTTTTATCCTCAAATAGCTGATGGTGATTGGCACCTGAGCACCGCGCCTTGGCTTAGTTTTCTGTTGCTGTTTGTTTTTGATACTCCAGAGTTTGCTTAAAACTATTCGGTCATAAAAGCAATGTTGAGTGATGCACGCACGCTCTGAAATAGCAGGGAAATCTTCTGGACTGTCTGTGCCATGGGGTCAAACGTCTAAATACATGAAACTTGAATTACAAGAAGCATTTACTCTTTCAGGTCATTACTTTGGCTATCTTCACAATGATCTGAATATTCTGAAAGCAGAGGGTCATGAGGACATGAATCTCTGGAGAGAAATGCTCAGAAAGTTGTCTCTTAAAAATATGTTTCTGGTAATTGTTTTTCACTACTTGCTAAGGGCTGTGCTCTTAGCATCGCATGAGAGAGCTCGCATGACTAATCGCTGTCTGGGTTTAGTCTGCAGTCCACTCTAAAAAATTGGTATTCTACAATGCGATGCAAGCTGATGTCAAATGTCCTTCAAAAGTAAAGCTTCTGTCCCAAAGAGTTTTCTGTGCACAAAACAAAGAGAAAATGTTTTTTTTAGTTTTTTTTAGATTTAATTTGGGGCATTTTATGTCTTTATTGTAGAGATAGGACAGTGGATAGAGTGGGGAATGACGTGTGGGAAAGGAGTCACATGTTGGATTTGAACCCGGCCTGCCCGCTTTGGGGCTACAGCCTCCGTACATGGGGTAAACATCCTAACCACTCCCCCAAGAGAAAATGTTTTGGAATTAAATATTTAAACATCTTTTTATATGACTCCTGGAATAACATCAATATCATGTTTTTGATTCATATTCTTAGTTTATTGAAAATGCCTTCGGCAATGATTTAGTCAACAGTATTTTTATTTTTATTTTTCATTTTGATACTCGACAATAAGAGTAAATGAGAATCTTTTTTTATACATGGTTCAGTAAAACATTGAATAAGTGCATACAGTAGCTTGGCATCTATAAAATTATTGTAGAAGAATGTATAACCTTTATGAACATATCAAAATGTTCATGCTCCTGTTAGGAGTGTTTGTATCTTATGACACAGTGAAATCATATTGATGCCTCAATATTAACAAGACCGTCAGCATGAAGATGGAATATTTTTTCAAAGTTGTTTTTATTTTTTGAAACTGCTGCTGGAGGCAGGTGTCAGACAAAGTGCTTCACTGCACTCTGCAGGAACAGTTTTCTTTTGAAATATTTTTCCTTGAAAAAAGTTACTTAAAAGAAAGGAAGCGGACGAGAGTTTTATTTGTTTGTTTAAAAAAAAAAAGACTACTTTCGCATGTACAGGACAAAAATCAGCAAAGATAACGGATACCTCTTTGTCCACAGGGGGCGCCAAAATACACACATACCAAAAGTTCCTCACAGGACCTTTAAAAAAAAAGTCAACTAAGAGGAATAAAACAGGCCTGGACTCTAAATTGAACCTCTGCATGATTTCTGTTTTTTTTAATAAATGGTTTTCCTCTGCTCACAAAGATAAAAAATAAAAACTACAGTCTGTTGGAAGCTTTTGATGAAATGGTGATGCGGTGCGTTTGAAAAGTCCCTGTAGTGAAAGGGAATAGGTTTGAATGCATTTTCTTACCTTAACATGTCAGGTGACTTCAACACCCTTTATTTTGAAATGTTCATCCGAGTGTTTTGACCCTAGAGAAGTTCCTATGACTTAGCATTTCCAGCAGAGTATTTAAAGCTGATAGTTGAGTAGATCAACACATCTGTAGCATTTTTAGAATATTTACCATGCTGCTCAGTGTCTACCTGTCTGGTTCCTCAGGGATCTGTGTGCGCTGCGACGGGGGCTCCAGAGGCTCCGTGTACATGCATCACAAGTTTGCAGTGGTTGACGGCCGACTGCTCATCACCGGCTCCCTCAACTGGACGCTGCAAGCAGTGCAGGCCAACATGGAGAACGTCCTCGTCACTGAGGAGCCCGACCTGCTGCGACCGTTCATCAAGGAGTTCGACAGGTTGTGGGTTTGCAATGAGCCAGGCCAACATCACAGTCTTGGCACTTGAACGTCTACAAAATTAAACGTTTTCGAGTTTCTCTGAAGATTTGTTCGAGCGACAGTAGCACTACTCAAGATAACGGATGTTTCATGGCAGGCATTTGACCTCAGACAGACTTAAGCCTGATTTTGTCTCGCAGTGTGTAATGTGAGTTTCTGTTCCATTCAGTTGTTTCTCTTACATTATAACCAAGGTAATGTCCTGCAGTTGTTGTGTTGAGGACTGCCAAAAAATAAGATGACATCCACATTTTCTTTGTCCTACAGTTTGAAAGAAAGTACTTCTGTTTGTATTAAGAAAGATTCTTTCTTTCCTTAATTAAAGTTAGAGGTTTTTTTGACTTTTCAAAATATTACATTTTAATCGGTGACTGATCTCTTCTGAGCAGATCAAGTAAATAATATTTTTTAAATGCTTACTTTGTTATCAACAGTGTATTACTTTACACATGTTCCCTGTCCAAACAAGGGATTATCCGGGCTAGTTTGGTATTGGAGTAATAAGGGATAATCTGGACTAGTTAAGGAATTTGAGTTTATTGCCATCAATTACAAAAGACAATACACCGTTCACCTCATGTAGCATAATGACACTAGGTTTAAAATCCAGTGTATTGTTTAGGTTGTGCCTCTGTGGTCTCAGGCATTATTATGTTTGCCAAGCACCAATAAAAACCCCTCTTTCATGCTGCAGTTTTTGGCAGGTTTGTTGCATCATTGCCCTGCAGCTGTAGTTTTTTCTCCTGCTCCGACATGAAAGCTCTTACAGCACAAATACATGCTGGTATCCTCACTGCTGAAATATTATCAGCATTTGAGGTTTGCAAGTCGAGCGGATGGGGGTTTGGACATGATTAATGTGCCTTGTTGTAAGACTGCCCCTGCATTGCTCAACAGTCAGGCTGATGCCTGTTGATTAAGGCCTGAACTGGTTTGTCTCAGTGGAGTGTATTAATATTTCAGCAGTTCAGATGTTTTAGTGAGGCGTACCAAATGAGAATTTTAGACCTTAGAAATCAGCTGCTATATTTTATCCACGGTGTGTGAGTGACCGATTACACTGAGAGGTCATGAGTTTGGATGCGTTGCTAGTGCGTAACGCCCTCGACATACAACACATGGTCGAGCAGAGCCTCCTAAAGTTTGTAGAAGCTGCGCAAGTTGGCTGGTGAGTGACGACACTATGCCGGACAGGTGGGGATTTCACCTTCAAAATAAAAGACGCGCAGGACAAGCTTTCTTTTTTCTTTTTATATATATATATATATATATATATATTTTTTTTTATTGAAGGTTTTTTTTTAATTTTTTTTTTTTTAATTAAAACTGAAACAGGCAATGGGGAAAAAAATACAAGGAAAAACTCTAAACATAAATTATTCAGAGGCTATATGTTCCCAAGCCTGCCTGCAAGTTCCCACTCAGCCCCCCCCCCAGTTTCGTACATGCATATATCCACACAAACCTATACATACATACATATCAATCAATAATAATTGATTAATAAAAATAATAAATAAAATAAAAAACAACAACAAAAATGAAGAATACAATTCATGCTTCCATGTTATCCTAAAATATTTTCATGTTGGATAGACTGGACTGACAAGCCCCTTAGGACAGGACAAGCTTTCATCAAATAATCAGTAGTCGTAGTACATTATCCTCTTAAAACATCACCAGAAACATTGTCATTCTCGCGTAAAGAGATTTAAAGTGTTCAAAAATTCTCTTCCACTTTGCACTGCTGTAGGTTGACAGAGAGAGTTTATCCTGATTTTGACGCATGAATGAAAGCTAGCTATTTTATTTTGAACTTGTGTAAAGGAAGTGCTGCGTGTGCTCCTGCAGACTTGACTTATGGCTACAGTGTGTTTTATACAGTCTGGTGTGGGGTGGGGAGTCCCGGTGACAGGCACATGCACAGTGTGGAGATCCGGGAGCGGAGCGCCTGAACAGGAGCGCCCGACAGCTGCGCACACCCATCGGCTTTCAGGTGGAGGTGAAAGACCGAGGACAGGACGGGAGGACACAGACTCATAATCTACATCCGAGGTAAGAAACAGTCACGTAGTTTTTCAGTCACAGAACAGGACTTTATTCAAGTGGCATCAGGTTGCAGTTTTGCCACCGTATGGTAGGACGGAGTACGCAAATAAGGTTAACGGGGTGTACAGGTTCATCAGCGTTTAACTTTGTTTTGAAATCATTTATTGCAGTGAAATAAGAACTATTTTGACTCCATGGGTCTTAATTAAAACGCCAAGTAGGCTACACACCCTATTTTCTTTACATTTTTCCAGCTGCTTCACTGCCGAAGTCAACATTTGCCTCCACAAATTAATTAAGTTTTTGATTTTTACGCAATATGATACAGTTGTTTTTTTTCTGCCGTAGTCAATACACCCAGTGTTTTTCGACCCAAACACTAGTTTGGATGCGTTTTTCATAGTTCTTCGTACTACGCATGCGCAGACATTGATGTTTTGCTGAGTGCGTCCAGCAGCACGCCGGCGGCCCGTCCCTCCTTTTTATGATCTTGGAAGCGGTATTACTGAGCCAGTCTCATGAGAAATGTCAGCAATCAGGGAGGAGTATAAAACCGAGGGTGGGGGGGGTCTACCATCCCCTCACCCGCCGCTCAGCATCCACTGATTTTTTAAGTTTCATACAGGGAGTCCATGTGAGTAATGTCCACAGGGGAGCAGTGGGTGACTGATAGAGGAAGAACGAGCCGAGGGAGCACGCCCATCAAGCTGTGATTCATGGCACAGGATGAGAGCTAGGAGGAATAAGAGTGGGCAACAGACCATTCTTTTTTTTTAAAAACAACACCTCCATTTACCAATAAGTACCTTCTCAGCTATAAGAGAGCATTTTCAGCCATGTGATTGTTAATGTGAATTCTCAAATAGCTGAGATTCCTCACTCTGACAATTTAAACACACAAGTAGGCCTACTGTCTCAGCACTCCACTTTCCCAGAACTCCAACTCCTCCATCTTCAGCAAGGAGAGCTATTACTGCAGCTAGAAGATATTATTAACAGAAAGTATTTTCTGTTAGGTTCATAAGCTGCATATCTACAGCACATGTGATTCATCAGCTCAGCATCCTGTAGACCTTCTTATTCCAACACTATTCTGTTAACCTTTAAAGAGAACTCTTTATGGACTGTTCCTGCTTTGCATTTCTTCTTCTTCTTCTTCTTCACCTTTTTCAGTCCTTCTTTTTTTTTTTACTAAAGTAAACTCTGCACCAGATAATAAATCTATGGTTTGCTGATAGACTTGAAATCCATATCCAAGAAGCTTCATTGGTAGGATCATTTAAAGTACTTTACTTTGAATATTTAATTATTTGAAGTAGACAGAAGAGCACTCACTGCATTAACATCCCCTTATCATTTCTCTTTTATGAAAGATGTTATTGACATTCATGAAATTCTTTCAAAAGATGTCCGGTGTCGGATCATTTGTCTGAGTTTTGAAACTTTCCATAAAATAATCACTTGTTTCCTTTTGCATTAAAACATAGTTACACACTATGATGTCATTTTTTACTCTCTTCTGACTGAATCATCTTCATTTTTTTTGCTTTCCTCGAATCTGTGAGGAAAGCAAAACAAGATCCGCAAACCAAGTAGAATTCACCTTCAAGTCTGAGGAAGAGCATATTCTTCTTTTGCTTTCATTACCTATTCGTGTTTGGAATCCAGGAATGTCTTTTTTTTTTCTATTTTTCATATCAAGAATCGGACATTTCTGTTACGGAAAACCTTCAGGATCTCAAAGTCTATTGAAAAGTCCCCACCACAATCGCCATAAGTGTTACTTTACGTGATCAAATTCTTGTTTTTTTCTGGTTATTGTCTAAACCAAACAAAATTCAATATAAATCAATAAGACATCTTGAAAATAAAAAAACGGATCAAATGATCAGGGCAATGTAGCCTAGTGGTTAATGCACACGCCCCGAGTACAGGCTGTACTCCAAGCGGGCGGCCTAGGTTAGAATCCAACCTTGGCACCTTTCCCGCATGTCATTCCCCACTCTCTCTTCTCTCTCTCTCTCTCCACGATTTCTGACTCTATCCACTGTCTGTCTCTCTAATAAAGGCATAAAAAGCCCAAAAAGTTTGAAAAAAAGGTATTTTCTTCGTGTAACATTCAAAGCCCTAACTCTCCTGTTGTCCTCCTTCATCAACAGATGGCTTCAGCCAGAGATCCAGCCAGGCCCGAGCAGAGGATGCACCGACCAAAACTTGACTACATGTTCAAGCTGCTATCATCGGAAACAGCAGCGTGGGAAGACGTCCTTTCTGTTCCGCTTTGCAGACGACTCCTTCACTTCAGCCTTCGTCAGCACGGTGGCATCGACTCAAATGAAGACCATCTACAGAACGACAAGAGGTCAAACTTCAGATCTGGTAGATAGTTAAAATCAGTCAGACAATAGGGATGCAGCCGACCAAAACTTTGACTACATGTTCAAGCTGCTGCATCGGAAACAGCAGCGTGGGAAGACGTCCTTTCTGTTCCGCTTTGCAGACGACTCCTTCACTTCAGCCTTCGTCAGCACGGTGGGCATCGACTTCAAAGTGAAGACCATCTACAGGAACGACAAGAGGGTCAAACTTCAGATCTGGGTGAGATAGTTAAAATCAGTCAGACAATCTTTTTCAATATATAGAAAAATATGATCAGCACGTCCTGCGTGAAGCCCTGAAATGCATTCCATTCTCAACGAGTTTGTGGTGCCACATTCAAGCTGAAAAATTATGAAGTAGTAAGTTTTGCAATATTTTTTCCATTTCCAGGTAGAAAAACTGGGATAAAAAATAAAAGATAATCTAACAGTAGTTTGAACATGGTCAACTCATGCTTCTTTAGCTCTGTACACCTCCATGAGATAGTCCAGGCCGTGTTTAGTGCGACTTTAGGCTCCCTGTTTGAGTAAATACACACCTGAAGTAGTCATGTGGGTCACAGAACTGAAAGTTAGGTTTTATTTACAAACCTGTTCAGCACGTATCTGTCCTAGATTTTTGTTTGCACAAAGAAAATACTAAAAGACCAAAACAAAAAAACTCTCAATTTAAACTGCTTATATTTATTTATAAAACTAGCTCCTCTCGGGCGCTTGTGGCGCAATGGTTAGGGCGCGTCCCATGTATTGAGGCTGTCGTCTCAAGCGGGAGGCCGGGTTCGCCTTCACCCGTGGCCTCTTTCCGCACGTCATTCCCCGCTCTCTCTCTCTGGTTTCCGACTCTATCCACTGTCCTATCTCTGCATTAAAGGCACAAAAAGCCCAAAAATAAATCTTGAAAAAGAGTGTGATTAACAATACAATCGTCTTATCCAAGTTAATATGCAAAAATATTAATGAATGATGTAGAAGGAAAATGAAATGTACTTAATATGCATTTGATTAGTGAAAAAGCTAAATCACGCTTTCAGCCAAATGGATAAAAGGAACCCATTTACTCACAAAGCCATGGATCACACTTTCCTGTAATTTAAGCTTAGAGATCCGTTATTGTCTAAGTGCTGCCAATTATTCTAAAAATGTGACGGTTGTACTTACTATAAACGGATCAATATGCAAATTAAAAAATCGCTCTTCTGATTTCAAAGCGGTATTACAAACAGAGGCAAACAAACAAATCTTCTATGAAAGATACAAGAAATCAGAGAAAAGAACTCACTGTTGTAGCTGAAGGTTAAGTAGCTAGATCTGAAATCCAATTCATAATACTTAATTTAACACATTGATACAGATAAAGGTGTTTTGCATGACATGATAGAATGATCTATACGTACCTTTTCTTCATAGGTTGAGCTGCTTTCCAGTTCACAGTAAAATACAAGGTGGTGTTATGAGAATATTCACCATCAGCTGCATCCATTATAGCTGTTATCCAAAATGACTCTGCACAATTAAACCTGCCCAGCATCACATGCATGGTTTTGAAAGGCCAGGTCCAAATTGAGGATGGATGGAAACCTGGATAGGAACCAGACACATCTGACAGAACGCGGCTGTGGTTCAGCGGTAGTCTGTCGTCTGACAGACAACAAAGGGGGGGCCGATCCCCAGCTCTTGCTATCACGTGTGGAAGTGTCCTTAGGCAAGGCGCTGAACCACAAATTGCTTCTGCTGCATATGTGTGTGTGTGTGAAAGGAAGTACTGATGGGCAGTTTGGCACTTTACATATCACCTCTGCCATCAGTGTGTGAATATGGTGTGAATGAACGAGTGTGAAGTTGTGTAGTGTAAAAGAACTTTGAGTGGTCAGAAGACTAGAAAAGTAGGATACAGTATCCAGGAAGTCCATTTACGATTACCTTTTAACCAGGTGAAAATATGAGCTCACAGATTCGACTGGTTCCAAGATGAGAACAGTCTGGTTATCAAACCAGAAAAATACACAAAACCTCAGAGCTGTAGTATCATTATAAAATACTAAGTGATTGTTTTTCTTTTCCATCAAGCCATTCAAAACCCAAATATGCATTATTTACTTTCATAGATTGCAAAGAAAAGAAGCTAATGCTCTCATTTTAATAGCTGGAATCAGTAATTTAAAAACTTTTTATTTCCAAATATCTGATACACTTTGACCCACCGTTACTGTTGTCAACTAAAATAAATGTCTTGACAGCTGGATTGATTTCAAACCACAGCAGGTTTAATCATAGTTAAGTTTAACAAGGCTGAGAAAAGACCAGATGGAGAATGATACGCACATTATGCTCACAGATTGACGGACGTAAATCCATCCTTAACTGTGGGTGAGAGGACCTTAAACACAGATTCAACCGCATGCAGAGTGAGTACTGCTTTTGAAAGCATTGTTACCCACTACAGACTGTGTTTATGCTCAGCCCAATATGTAGTTTGCCCCTCTTACATGCCCGCCCCCCCTGTCATGATTGTGCTGCAGAGTAATCTCTCACCCTCTGGAGTTAATGACAGTTGATGTTTAACATCGTCTCCAGACGGCCGGGTTCATGAAAGATGCATGGGTACAAGCTGCAGGAGCTGAATGTGCTTACTGCGCAGACTGACACTCAGAGCAGATCTATTACTGAATGTAAGAGGGAGGCAAAGAGTCACCCACAGCTCTCCTGTTGGAGGAAAGTGATCACTTTTCAAGCTTTAAATATTTAGCCTAGCAGGCCCTCTCTGCTCCGCTTAACAATGATACAGTTGCGGACATTTACACAAGGAAAGTGCCAAGTGTAGTTTTATTGGCTGCTGAGCCACTTCAGTGGGTTTCATGGGAAACGTAATAAAAGCTCATGCTGTGACTCCCCAAGTGTGGTCTCTGTTAGACATATTGTTGGTCATTTTCCCGCTGTAAGGTCGGCATCTTCATGAAGTTAATATTGCAGTTAATTCAGTTAAAGTCTCTTTTTTTTTGTGTCGCATTTTAAAATGGATCTTTAGTTCCTACATCAGAGTTGTGTATACATGCTTAACCTATTTCCTCGTGACCTACAAGAGCAGAGAGAAGAAACACAAAACATCTTCAGAGTTTATTTTTGTCCTCAGGGCTTTGCCCCCGAGCAGATCCTTGTGTGTATACAGGGTGTGGCCACATCAACACTTCTGTTTTGAGAGAGTTAATGATTCACCTTTTCCTCTCAGGACGACCTGGTTAACCATTTGTTTTCTTCACCCCCTTTTTTTTTGTTTTTTTCACTTGTATATTTCTATACTCATTTAAGGAATGTTTTTTTTCCTTCTAATTGTTGATACTATTAATGCGGATTAGACATTCAGCATTGGAATAGTTTTACTTCCTTGTTTTCAGTAATAGTCCCCTTTGTGTTGTTCGACTTCACGCTGGTAGAGTGGGCCCTGGGTTCCTCCTGGTGTGGCCACAGTGTTTAGGCAGTTCCTGGTGATGAAGGTACTCATGCTCTCAACTGGCCCTCATGTTCCCCTCACTTAATCCAATTGAGCATTTACGGGGCGTTATGTAATGGTGCATCCGACGACGCCAAGTAACCCCCACTGATGCCCTGAACCAGGTCTGGTAGGAGTTCGCCCTTTAAACCGTCAGCTGAATCATGAGGAGCCCAGACGTAGTCGGGAGTGCGTTCAGCCAAACACACGACAGAGTCACGTTATCAGTTGCTGTGATAAAATAAAGTAGAGTAGAATAGAATTATTTTGGTTTCCATCAACTGTATTCATGTTATTTTGTTCAGTAAAGAATTACACGTTGAATAATTTAATCATCTAGATATGATGTGTGATTTAAGTGTTCCCTTCATTTTTCTGAGCAGTGTACAGTATGTCATGTTCTGGATTTTAGGTACGTCTTGTATGTCTTGTTTATGAGGTGTGTGATGTGTTTACAGGACACAGCAGGGCAGGAACGTTACCGGACCATCACCACGGCTTACTACAGAGGAGCCATGGGATTCCTGCTCATGTATGACATCACCAGCCAGGAGTCTTTCTGTGCGGTACAGGACTGGTGGGTACTCCTCCACATGCAATGCTCTTCTTTTCATGGCTCCGTTATCCAGTAGGTGAGGGGATCGGGAATCTTTGAGCCATTTATTGAAGTTTCAGCGATGAGTTATATGTTAGACACAGTCATATAATCACAGATCACGACATCTGGTTTACCTTCAGAGGGGAATTTTATATTCTTCAGATTTATGTGTTAAGTTTTACCTCTTATCAAGCTCTATCTCTTCACTTCTTTTCACCACTATCAGACATTTTCCTGCTGTCTTCTTCTTCTTTTATTCTGCTGTTAACCTCTTCTTCGGCTAATAAACGTTTTTTTACTGTTACCCTCATTGTCATAAGCGTCAGTGTAAGAAATAATGAATCAGGAAGGCAGTGAGTCAAATCATCAGAGAAATCTGTTTGGAGCGCCATATTTTTAAAATTTAAATATTGATCTTCCGCACCAGAAATTTGATAATTTTATTATGCATGCCAAGACAACAATATATTCCCCTATTGATATTTATTTTACCTTTCACTAAAGTAAAGGTGGAAAAAAGTCCTGGGCCCATATTCACATAAAGTAAAAATGAAAAAAAAGATAAAAGCATAAATAATAATTTTTCTATGATTCAATATTCTTATATCTGTATTCCTTTTGTTCTCTGTGTGCGTATCCTTCCTTGCTGGACCCTTTTATTTATTTCCTCATGTTTCTTTGCAATAGAAAAAGTAAGTAAATAGATTTTAGTACTTAATCTAATCGAGATAAACATGAAGCAGTGTCAAAGATGTAATTGTTTGTGTGATCACCGTTCTCTCCGTCTTTCCTGACAGCTTTAGAAACTCTTAAAAGTCCCTCAATTCTTCTCCTAACAGCTTTGCACCTGAGGAGCTCTCTTGTGCTTTGTGAATAACTTTTTTTTTAAAGGGATCTAGTCTTAACTTTAAGGGAAAATTCAGAGAAAATATCTTAATTCTGTTTTTTAGAATATCGTCATGAAGAGCAACTCTGTACTTAGGAGGTGGTGTGGACACGGCCCCTGAAGTCTAAACATTCAGAAGTTAAAGTACTTGTTAAGGATGCCCTCTTTCAGAGTTGTTATCTTATTATGGTCTTTCCAATTTGTAATATTTATTATGCATTAAAATAAGCAGCATTCAATGTCACAGTTTGCTTCTGGGGTGTTTTTATGTGAGATTACAATCTGATGTAAGTAACGATACTGTTTAGATAAGTAAGATAATATAAGATAATAACTAATGAGATAAGTAAGATAATATAGGATTGGTACTATACTTTCCTCTGGGAATGGAATTGAAGCACTTGTTTAGTACACTCGACTAAAACCTTTACTGGGTGAAGATACAGAATTGCTGCAGGAGATGCATTATTGTGGTTGTGAAAATGTTGTGTTTTTGTTTGCCAGGGCAACCCAGATCAAGACGTACTCGTGGGGCAACGCTCAAGTAGCGCTGGTAGGCAATAAACTGGACTTGGAAGAAGACAGGCAGGTCCCTGCTGAAGACGGAAAAAGACTGGCTACAGAGCTCGGTTGGCACATACACACACTTTTCTCACATACTCAGCAGAGCACACATTACTTAATAATGACTCCTAACTCATCCCTCTCTCTCTCTCTCTCTCTTTCTCTCTCTCTCCCTCTCTATCTCTCTCTCTCTATCTCTCTCTCTCTCTCCCTCTCTCTCTCTCTCTCTCTTTCTCTCTCTCTCTCCCTCTCTTTCTCTCTCTCTCTCCCTCTCTATCTCTCGCTCTCTATCTCTCTCTCTCTATCTCTCTCTCCCTCTCTATCTCTCTCTCTCTCTCTCTCTCTCTCTCTATCTCTCTCTCCCTCTCTATCTCTCTCTCTATCTCTCTCTCTCTCTCTCTTTCTCTCTATCGCTCTCTCTTTCTCTCTCTCTTTCTCTCTCTCTCTCTCTCTCTCTCTCTCTCTCTCTCTCTCTCTCTCTCCAGGCTTTCAGTTCTTCGAGGCCAGCGCCAAAGACAACATCAACGTGAAGCAGGTTTTTGACAAGCTGGTGGACGTCATCTGCGAGAAGATGAATGAAAGCCCCAACGGAGAGGCCGGTCTGTCGGCCAATCAGAAGAGAACTGACCTGAACGAAACACCCCGCAGCAGCCAGGGGGGGTGCGCGTGCTGATAGCTGACCACAGAAAGCCGGTTTCAAAGTCACACTCACATGCAAACACGTAAACAGATAATCGATCAGCTATCTCTCATTATGAATGTACTTTAACTTATTTTACTGCGATATTGTCATGGGTGCTTTCTTTATAATTTACCTTTTCCTCAGCATTTCACTGTTAACTGAATGTGACTGTTGCACTGAGATGCCAAAGAGCTGCTCTAAGCAGCTGTGCCTTTTTTCCCCATGAGACCTCTTCTTCATTGTTTTGTTTTTTAAATAGTGAAGGTACAGCACCTGTTTAAAGTGAGGTAACTGAATAATGACAGCAGCCCACATCAGCATGGCAGTGTGATTAACTTGAGTCATGCTACCCCCTAGTGGGTGTTTCATGAAAATACATCACTGTGACTCTACTTCACACTGTGTCCTCTTATTTCCCCCCCATTAGTCCCTGCAGAGGGAGTACAAAGTCAGACATACCTGAAAGGTGCTGTGTCATTCGAGGTCGACGCGCTAAGTCCAATATTATTATCATAGCTCCAGAGGGATATTCTCATTTGCTTTTTATTTATATTGTTTGTTGTTTTATTTCTATTGTAAATGCAAGTTCAACTTTTCCCTCAACAGATTTATTTTGTCGCTCAAAATGTCAAAAGATTAAAAGATGTCAAACCATAAATCCCGTCTGTTGGATTTCATGTGTTCAGACAGTGGTTAAACGTTTTCACTGTTTTAAACACGACTTCTAAAAGGTAGCAAAGGTTTTATAGTTCTTTATAACTTTCTACACAGTGGGAACATTAAGAAACGGTTGATTCAGTCATGTGATACATTTTATCCCCAAACTGTTGAAACTAAAACAGAGTGATTATTCCTAAAATTGATAGGCTCCTTTTTTTTTATTATTTAAATGGACCTGTGTGTTGTGCTCTGTGTTGGATGTTCAATCATTAATAGACATCAGTATTAAAAGTTTGAACACGGTTTGGTCATGAAGTCATGAAGTTGCTACTTTTAAACAGACTTTGGTCATAGGAAGTGTTGTTAACCCTCAATGCAAAGTCGGTGACGTGCAGGTCATGAACTCCTTTCTCTCCGATCAGTGTGTACCTTAGTGTGTGTTTGTGTGTGTGTGTTCATGTGTGTGTGTTCATGTGTGTGTGTCGGTGAAAGATAAAGCGGCATGCGAAACCCTTGTTGAGCAGACACTCTTGTTGAGCAGACACTCTTGTTGAGCAGACACTCTTGAGTGAGCAGACCTCAGCAGACAGACAGACAGACGGTATATTAGAGGTAAGAGCTTTGTACTTCTTTATATTTAGATATTGAATCATATCATCAACCACTGAAAACTTTTACATTTAACTAAATACACCTTAAAACATGATTTTGAATTGAGGATTTTAAATTTTTCACCAATGAAAGAAGAACGGCAATGTGTGTTTCTTTTTTTTTTTTGCTTTTTCACAACTTAAATTACACTGAATAACTGAAGAAACAGGTCTTCACTGGTGGTACAAAATATACAGCTCATAGGTTGTTTGTTGTTGAATTTCAGTTCATGGTTTCAATCTCAAAAGTCTAGAGTATAAAGAGAGGCTAGGGATAAAACCTCCTGACTCTGTTGGATTACCTCAGGTTACATGTCCGTCTCAGTCTCCTTTTCAAAGAGGATTCAAGATGATGGTCACATGTGGCATTCACAGACCACATTTACATACAATCCAATTCTTAATACCTTGAATAAGTCACAGAAAACAAGAGAACAAGAAAAGTAGAAAGTGAGAAGAGGTCATTGTGCTCCCAGTTTTTCCTATCTATGTAAATTCATTATTCATATGATTTAACCATCTGTACCTACAAATCTTATCACGAGAGAGAAAATTTAAATTTTTAAAATAGTTATCCTCTCCCTTTTTTGTTGTTTCTTTTCTCACCACTTTCTGGTTATTGCTTTTTTTGCTTGATACAAGTACTACTATTTTTAAAACTACCTGCAATCTGAAAACCCAACACTGATTGTACTTCTTTCTAATATGCTTGGATGACTTGTCGTCAGCCTTTAGTTTGTTGCACTGTCTTCAACAGAGACCAGATTCAGGGCTTCCATTTTTAAGATATTTCCTTTTGGGAGGGATAGTTGTATTTTTTGAGTGGGTTCATGTAAAACAACACTATACTTTAACTACCTACGGACTGAAGTTTTGTTCAGCTCAGTTTATTTGAACAGAAAGTGTGAGCAACAAAAAGAACACTGACTGTACACAGCAGAGGAAACCAGTTCTGTCAGCTGTGACATTTCTGGTCACAGATCTGATGTTAAAAAAAAAAGCAACAACAGGATTTTCTCAAACCACTCGATTTGCATAGAAACTATTTGTGTCTTTTTTTTAATGTCCCAAAGGCATCAAATGGATGTGTTCAAACAAACACTTGTACATTTTGTTGTCGGTGTGGAAACATTTTATAGCCTCTTGCAATAAGGAACCAGGATCTAAGTAGTGTCCCTGTGACCTATATCTGTATTAGGGGGCAATAAGGAAGAAAAAGAAGAGATCAGTAACTATAAAACTGAGCTCATGTCGGATGCAGAGAACAGGGGGGGGGGGGGGGGCGGGGTTGTGCAAGATTGGAGACAAGGGTACCACTGTATTTTATGACTTCTGGGCTACTTGCAGTGTGACTACCAGTAAGGTGATAAAATACTTGAACTTGACCTTAATTATGAGCTCATTAGAAGAGGGCATCTGATTAAATGAATTACAACATGCCCTTGACCTTCTTCTTCGTTTTCAACTTGTGTTTCATAATCTTTTATGGCTTAAAGGAAAAAGACGTGAGAGCTGCAGTCATACAAAACTCACTTATACAGCTGAACATGAAGAGTACAGCGTGCTCGGAGTAATACACAGTAGTTCAGAGCACGAGGAAGTCTGTACCACATGGAGTCATATGTGTAAAAAGGAAGCCTTAAAACATACAACTCGAATGGAGATCTTTTAAATAGCTTTGAGGAGGCGGCAAAATATAAAAGAAGTGTGGATACTGGATATGAACATGCACCGTATTTAACACATGAACTGAAACTTTGGGTTACGTCAGCATGAAGGCTGAGCACATTTAAAGGAGAGTGAGACCCTTTGTGTTTTTTTTCCCTGCCAGTTACTCTGGTTAATGTACAACCAAAGCAAATGCCATTTGACCCATGTTGGTGCTTGGTTTTTTTTAAAAGCTGTTCCCATTCATGCTGTTGATTTTCCTATCAGAGCTTTTTGATAGGAAATTTAGCCAACAACCCCATAAGCAAAAACAAATACTGTATGTTTGACCTGTTATTTAATAACTCTGTTATTTGCTCAACTAACAAACCTTTTGTCCTTTTTTTTCTTTCTGCAGTGTGAAAAAAAACCCCAAAAAAAGCCAAGATGTGTTGCTCCAGTTTTCTCAAAATTATGATGTTTGTCTTCAACGGCGGCATCTTTGTAAGTTGAAGAAAGACGAACTGTAAATTCTGTTTCCTGTTGTCCAGCTTTGCTTTCTATTAACACATGTGGCAACAAAGCTACTGGACAGCACACATTACACTCACTAATCTAGGTAACAGTGAAAGATGTCTCATATATCTGTTTGTTAAAGATGAAGCCAACAAGCAGCCTAGCTTAGCATAATAGACCACCTCTTGTTTGGGAAATGCTTCAAAAGTGACCACTGTAGAGGGCACCATGCTAACAACAAGGGTGAAGCTAACTAGCATTCAGTAGTGGAGTTCCTGCCTTAGACTGTATAAAACATGGACGTAGTCTCAGTGACGTCACCTTTGGTTACTGATGGGGAATTTTGAAGCCCAACAAAGGCAGTCACCACATTAAAAATGCTGTCTCATCCTGTGTCTGTCATCACAGAAATAGCCATTTTGAATAAACTGAATGTAAATGTCTCAACTAATTTCTTTCGGTTTCACTTTGCCTGACTTTTGACTTTTCTTATTGTTACTGCTAGTGGCAATATTTAAAACAACAGACCTATTTAACATTATTATAACACTATTCCTTCCTTACGCCTCATGCAGTTGGCAGGTGCAGCCATCCTGGGTGTTGGTGTGTGGGTGAAGGTGGACAGCGGTTCTCTGCTGGGCATACTGGACAGCGTGGATGGCGCTCCGTCTGAGTTGTCCCAGCTGGTCTACGTCGGCTACCTGCTCATTGGGGTGGGTGCTGTGCTGCTGATCATCGGCTTCCTGGGCTGCTGTGGAGCCGTCAAGGAGAGCAGGTGCATGCTGCTGACGGTGAGTGACTCAGAGATAGAAATTCTAATGTTATTTCTGTTGGTAATTTCAACAGAGAAGTGAAGAAGAACACCTTCTGACTCTGTCCCTAATATTGTAGCTCTATGTTGGATATTATTGTAAATAGCTTTGGACTTGATTACCTACAGTACTTTAACATCTGTGCATGTCCAGTTTCGAGGCCTGTTTTTATTACTCCCATGCTGAGACTTCATTTTACACACAAAGTAAGGAGCTCACATATCGGTAATGATTCATCTTTCTTTCCCCATTCAGTTTTTCAGCATCGTGCTCATTATTTTCCTTGTCGAGGTCGCTGGAGCTGTGGTGCTGCTCGTCTTCCAGGATTTGGTATGTCTCTCTTGAAAGCCAAACAGGAACAAGCTAATCATATATGCCAGTGTAAACATGCAGCACCCTTAACAAAAAAAAAACCTTAAGAGCTCTCTTTACTTTGAATTCATTTAATTTGTTATATCTTTTCCTCAGGCTGGCGAGATTCTTTCAGATCTGGAGGATGGAGTAAGAAAAGGCATTCAAGAACACTATGGAGACAGTGAAAGTCTGACGTCTCTCTGGAACACCACCATGGAACAGGTACACTCTATATATACATGTAACTAAATACTTCAGACCACAGGTATGCCGATGGTTAATGACCCAAGTCATGATATGGTAAATGGTAAATGGAGCTTTTTTTAACCGCATGTCACACCTATTCACACACTGATGGCAGAGGTTGATATGTTAAGTGACCATCAGATGTAACCAATCTCATTCATACACTGCTGATGAAGCAGCAGGAGCAATTCAGGTTTAAGTGACCTGCCCAAGGACACATCGGACATGTTGCTGCAGGAGCTGGGGATCGAGCCCACGACCTTCTGGTTGAGAGACGACCAACTCTACCAACTGAGCCACAGTCGCCCCGCCCCTGACAAAACACTGACAATTTTTTGATTTCCTGAATATGCACACTCTTAGGAACACAGTCAATACCCTCTTTGTCTTTGTTGGAGTGGAAACATTGATAACAACCTCATGCTGATGTCATCATTTTATTCATTTTTTTATAAATGAAGCAGTCCCACATGTCTCACAGACTTACAGCACCTAAGAAAAGTCACTGAACTGTTCGTGTTTGTCTTTGTTTTCCTTCTAGTTTAAATGCTGCGGATACAAGAACTACACAGATTTTGATGGCTCTCCTTTTAACGTTGGTCACGAAAACCTTTATCCGACCATGTGTTGCAACGTTACCACCACGCCGGATGTTTGCAATAAAAATGCAGCACATAATTCGGTACGGTTTGACTCTTTTTTGACTCAATTGAATTTTAAAGCCTGAAAAAAATCCTGATCTCTATCGTTTTTCTTTCAGATGATTGATGGCT